CTACAATGTAAAATCTGGAAATCCTTTAAAATAACATGCTTTGATATTTTGATCATAACTTGAGCTGTGGTAATCCGAAATTTGACGATTCTGTGGCGTTGGAAAGCTTATTCAAAGAGCTATAAAGTTTGTGTTGATGAATTTACCAAATTCTGAAGTTCACGGACTCTAGGGACAGAAAGAAATATCACCGCAGCGATGGGTCCGGCCTGTTTGGGTTATTGCATTTTCCTAATCCAAATTTGAGTGGGTTAAGGATTTTAATTCTTTTCCTAAGTAACTTGAAGCCCTGGTACTATAAATAAGGGTCTTTAAGTAGTTTTAAGAGAGATTTGAAGGAGAAGAAATGACTCTACTACCTTGGAGATCGAAATTCTTGCGATTCTCGTTTACAAATTAGAGAAGTTTTTCTATTTTTATTTCTTGAACTCATGTTATTAAATACAATGGTTGTTTTTATTACTGTAATTATGAACTAATCTCTTTTCTAGGGCTAAAGATGTAGCCTAATTTATGAATATGTGTTGATTTAATTTGTTGTTATTATTATTGACATTTAATTCTAAGTTTTATTATTGTGCATAATGCTTTCAATCTTAAGGATCCGAGAGTTGAATGATATCACGGGTTGGGTTGAGATCGAGAGATGAAACCTGATTTGTCTAAGGTAATAAAACCATAGATTGAGCAAACGCTAGAGATAGGTACCGCGATCTGTGAGGCTCTGGTAAATTCTATAGAACTTAATGATCTCTTAACTCTAAATTCAACTTAATATATTTTAGGTTGTTGCTTAAGGGTTAATTCGCTAATTGTTCGAGAGAAAGTTAGTGGAATATCAGGGAATTTGGCCTTTTAGAATAAGCTTAATTAAGTTAGCAATAATTGTCAATGCATAGGATTAAATTGGTGTGAAATCTGTGCCTTAGGTTTAGTCATATTGATTTGTTTACCATAGTATTAATAAAATTCTGCCTTTGCTTAATTTTTAGTTTGTTATCTTTTTCATTAAATTCATTATTAAAATTTTGTTTCATCAAATAACAATAAAATAGACTAGTTTGGTACTTGGTAGGTAGTTCTCTTGGGATTCGACACTCGTTTACTCGAGCTTTATTACTTGCGCAATTTCGTACATTTGCAAATAGCCTGTCAGACTCCTCGGGAGTATGAGCTACTTTATGGAGCTCCTTGTGGAACCTATCGATGTAAGATTGGAGATATTCATTCCTCTCTTGCCTTATGTTGCTGAGGTAGCTCAAAGGCATCGAGAACTTCCTGTTCGCCTGGAAGTGTCTCAAGAATGTTGAACTCATCTGGTTCCACGAGCCGATTGATCCCGTCGGGAGCGATCTGAACCACCGCTTGGCATGAGATGTAAGAGTTACTGCTAAGCACCGGCATTTTTCCAAACCAGAAACTTGATGAAGTTCCTCAGGTCGTTGAATTCGTATAAATGATCCTGCGGATCAGAATTTCCGTCGAACGCCCGCATATCAGACATTCTGAATCTGGACGGGAGAGGGGCGGCTAACACAGTTGGAGAAAAGGAGGACGCTTTTGTGACTGCCCTTGCTCATTTTGCTAAGCTTTTAGCTGATCCAGAGCTCGTTGTAGCTCTTCAATCTGAGGTAGCGGGGCTATTTGGGGATTGCTTTCCCCCATGCGGGTTTGACCCTCGCGATTGTGCTTGAGGAAAGTCCAGAAGTCGGATTCCTCTTCGCCGACACACGCTGGCTAGAGTCGTGTGATGACGATGAATGGTGCGGGGAGTTTTCACAACCTCCATGGTGGTATGAACTGCCCCGCGGAGTGTGGGAACCTCCCGCACGAAGACTATCGGGATCGTCATCCTGGTGGTGATAAGAATCGCCCCGCCCAACACTTTTATGGGTGTGCTTATACGATATGGCATGGGACAACTCGGGATACGACCTGTCACCAAGCCTTAACGCTATGGGTATTCTACCCGAGACGTGGTCGGTGTTTGTCGGCCCTTTGGAGCTCTTAGGCCCACTATTCGCCACTTGCTTACCCTTCCTTTGATGCGCTGTAGTGTGCGCGACACAGGCTATTGCCTTTTTCTGCGTCTTCATGCGACCTGCAGGCATTTTAGGCGGTGGCACCGCCTCATTTGATTTGGGTGGTGTAGCCCGATCCCAACGGTACAACCTTTGGTTGACCGTTTGGAGAGTATTGTTGAACCTCTCCAGGTAGCTCATGATGGCAGGGTCGAGCTGTGAGCTTGAAGGAATATCCCCCATGAGGTTTTGCGGAACTGGGGGGACTTCGAGAAAAGTGTCCTCTTGCACCAGGGGGACTTCTTCCTCACCATGATCGGGTCGCTCAAATTCTAATTTGCAAGTCATTTGCTGTTGTAGGACCAGTTAGTTAGAGATTCTCTTGATGAAGGACGAATACTAAATCAGGCCCTCCTTCTAGTGCCAAACTGTTGATGCGTGATTTTGACACCAACTAAACACACGTGCGAAATACTGAGCTGACTTAGAGTACATACGCGATTGGGGGTATGAGGATGGGTAAAAGATGGAAAACGATGTTTAAAGTGGTTCGGATGCTTAAAAAGCGACTCCTACATCCATTGATATTGTATTAAATATTAATATACTGAGGTCAGGTCGCGTTCAGCGAGCTAATTTACAAGTGATTACACAGAGAGAATAAGTAAGCTATTACAGAGAGAAATTAGCTAATCTCACAAACGGGAGAGGAGCCCTCTATTTATAGTAGGATGAAATCACGTAATGATTACTAAATCCATGAATGAGTCGGATTGCTGTGCAAATCGTTCCTTGCGCCCCGTTATTTACCTGCTCGAGTAATTCACTCGAGTTTTGCAGCGATTGGACATGTGGATCACCTCCAGCCTTTCACCAGCTTGACGCACACCTACTGCACTGGTAGGACCACGCTTCTTGCGTCAGCGCGCGACGTGGCTGCACCTGAACGGCACCTGGACTTACCTAAGCTCTGACCACTTGCTCTAACAACCCATTTGCATCGGCCCTACTTTTCCAGGCATAACAATGACGATTCAAAGAAAGATTGACGGAGCCTACTTAGTTTAAAGTGGAGTGAGATTTTGGACCTGGATGCGGATAACATATTCACCATTGGATTGATAGGAGTATTGACCTGGGTGAGTGTTCAAATGTTGTGGCAATTGCTAGTAATTTCGTTGGCCATCTTTGTTGCCGCTTTGAAATATTCTTTTACTGCAACCCTTCTCATCTTGATTCTCATTACTCTTCTTTGATTCGTACAACTCTGTAATGTATAATTGGCTTTTGTGAGTGGCCAATGTTTGAAATTGTGGACGTTGTTATTGTTGGTCACCAAGTGTTTGATAAATTGCCTGACTAACAGTTTCTGAGCAACTTGATTATTTTTCTTTTTTAACTCGCACAGGATACATGGTAGATGTTTACAACCAATTATTTATAGTTGCATTATAAATTTGATAGTGGGAAAAATATCCCTTTGACTACTTTGATAGTTGCATTATAAATTCAAGGCAGGAATTTGATATATATCCTTTTGACTACTTTGATCAAGGATTCACAAATCAAATATATGCTTCTTGTTCACCAATCACAATGGGTTTATTCTTTTTAAAATTTGCATGTTTATGTTTTTTTTAACAGATCAAATTGCAAATAATGGGTTTATATATTTTTTTAATTTTCAGGTTTGATGGCGTCATCAAGATGACACCAACCCGACTCGTCGGTTGGACCGGTTCAACCGGCTGACCCGGGACCTGGCCACGTTGTCGGTTGACACCTCAGGTTGGGTATTAAAACATTGGGTTATCTTCCTAGACCCCTAACCAAATGTAACCTCCAAGTAATTTTCAAAGTAATCTATCTTTCTATTAATATAACATTCTCAATAATATAATATTTCCAGAACCAAACATACCCTAAGAAGAAAAGAAAAACGTTTAAAGGCATAACTTTTCTTCATTGCTAAATAATGAAACACTAAAAAGAAAAAAAAAAACTTTTCTTCATTGCTGAGTAATGAACACTAAAAAGAAAGAGAGAAACTTTTCTTCATTGGTGAGTAATGAAACACTAAAAAGAGGAGAGAAACTTTTCTTCATTGGTGAGTAATGAAAAAGAAAAGAATAAAAACAAAGGGATAATTAGTTTAAAAATATCAAGGCTCCGTTTGGTTCACAATTTTGTGTTTTTGAGAAAAGTTTTTTGAAAAAAGTTAAAAAAAAGTTGAATTGAGTGGGTATTACGATGTAGAATTTACAAATTGAGAAAATACCCCCTATGTTTGTTTTTTTACAAAACACCCCTTATAATAAAACATTAAAAGTTAATAAAAACACCCCTAATCCACCCTCAAATACGGACAGCCGGCCACCACCGCCGGAGGGTGGCCGGAGTCGCCGTAACAAAAATATTAAAAATATTTAGGGGTATTTAATTGAATTAACAAATTTAAGGGGTTTAAAAAATGTTGAATAAAGTTGAATAATATTGTGAGTTTTTGGGTATTTTACTGTTTAACTTTTTTGGGAATACTAAAAATAGTATTCTCAAAATCCAACCAAACGAAGCCTAAATATTTTGTTTGACATAACTTTTTGCAAGAATTATTTATAGTAATAAAATCATTAAATTATATAAAAAATTTGTTAACAATTACATAAAATTATTCTCTTGGTTTGCGTAGCAAGGAGTTTAAAATTACAAATATTTTTCTGTCATGTTTAATATGATATGACATGTCGCGACATGTACAGGCTCAGATAATTATGCAAGTTTGGACTTTGGACTTTGAAGGGAGGAGACCGAAAAATGAGCAAAATATGTGGGGAAATATGAAATAATGCTAAAATTGACGAGGTTTTTTTGTAATTAAAATAAATTGTGGGCATTAAAACTAGCTAAAAATTATTATCAAAAAGAGAATTATAAATATAAAATGGCTCGTTTTACGGTGTCAATCCTCAATGCAAGCACCAAGCCATCAAGTGTCACCGTCCTGACAATCCAGATGCTGTGGGAAATACCGAAATATTAGTCAATTCTTCCATCATCGCCATTACTACCACCACCGCCACCACCAGGTCCACCGCAACCAACGGCAACAACGCTTCATTTCTCTCATAATAGCAGAATGCAAAACGATATATGCTTTAACTGTAGCAAGCCGGGTCATTGGTCGAGATTTTGCCCGAGCAAAACTCCCGAGAAGTCGTCACCGTCGTCCAGTCGCGGTGGAACTACCAGGAGTTCCGAGTATCCCTTGATCCACTGTCCATGTGGCAATGGAACTTGCCCCGTTTTGGTTTCTAAAACTAAAAAGAACCCTGATAGGAGTTTCTACACGTGCCCTGTACAGGTTCGTTTCTTTTTGTTTTGTGATTCTTAGTTAAAGATGTTTGTTTTTCATTTGCTGCGATTTCTTGCTCTCATTTGGGTTTATTTTGAAAAATCATTTATAGGGAAGTGGAAAATGTAAATTTTTTAAATGGTGTGACGAGATCAAGACAGAAGATACAAAGGTTCCTCCTCCTAAATGTCCTTGTGGTGCGGGAACATGTAAGAAATATGTTGAAGTTAAAGGACCCAACGTGGGTCGCAGCTATTTTGTTTGTCCCATAAAAAAGGTATAATCTTGATCATTCAGTAACTAGTACTTCGTCAGTATAACGTAGTATTTAGATTTGATGTTAGTTTTGTTGGTCTTCTTGATCTAGTTTTTCTGTTTGATTCTCAACTAGTTTGTGTTGGTTCCTTTAACAAATTTTAAACCCTGAACCACTAAATGAGTTAATTCTCTTAAAAGTACTGTGACTTTGCTGTGGCTGGATGCAGGAATAGGTCTTGCTTTTTGTGTTTCATTTTTGTTTGTCTGAAGAAAGAGCATGCCATCTACAATGATGCGAGTGACTACGAGTGGCATTTATTTGATTAATGTAATTGTGACGACAATTTGCTATTTTACTTTTGAGCACAGATGGTCTTTCCCTTTTGCTTCAGGTTCAAAACTGAAACTATTACTTGCTAGAGAGGAAATTCTGCCTCTGCCAGGGCAGTTGGTATTCTTAGTTATTGGGAAGGTGATTTTCGCTCGCATTGATTAGAAATTCCTCTATGCTAGCAACCATGATTGAGTTAATTATTTCCCGTCATGAACGTAGTTTGTAAATAATTTGATGAGCCCTTAGCAGTGGAGAATTATGGGTTGATAACATAGTTCATACATACTTGCTGATAATACAATATGGAGCTCTTCTTTAACTTTATGATGTTATAATTTCCCCTATCTCTACTCGCAGAATATTTTGTAGTTTATTTATGAATTTATTTGAGAAATATTAATCAAGAAACTCATTTCAAACCATGCTCCCTTTTATTGTTTATATAAACAACATGAACATATGTTGACAAGCTGGGGACAAGATGTGCTTTGAAATCGTCTTCATTAATTGGTTTGGTTCTGATCAAAGTGTTGTGACTTTGACCTAGGGACATGGGGCATGCCCATTCTTTGAATGGGCAGATAGTCAATCATACAAAGACGTAGATGAAAATGTAGACAAAAGCAAAGGCTATGGCTCACCTCAATCTATGTGTGATAGCCACAAGGTTTTTGACGTTCCAAACAATGAATTACAAACTGAGCAGCATGAGAGGACGGAATCCATTGTGTCAAACCCCCAAGATTTCCCGAATTCTGAGGCTGTGCCTACATCTTCAGCCCAAGCTTATGTACTGTTGAAGGAGAACCAAGATTCTGGTAGGGCATCAAGAATTTTGCCTGAAAAAGAACATGATCCATCCCTACGTTTGACTCCCCAAAATGAAAATACTGTCCCCAATTCTACCAAAGGTGATCTAGTCATGCAGGAGGTACAGTTACGGGATTCCAAAGTGCCGAATGCTTCAGTGGATCATCTAATGTCTCAGTATGATATTCATTGCCGACAGATGGAGTTTTGGAAGCAGATCTCTGTTGCGGGGGCCATTTCAACCGCAGGTGCTTATTTCTAGTTTGCTGTTTGTTTACCGATTTTACTTCTATTCTTTGTTTATATCTTGTCATACTATAGTGGTATACTTTTATTTACAGTAGATATTTGTTTTGGAGGTAACAGATGTGATTTATCAAAGCTTAGGTCTCCAACTGGTGGGCTGGTTGGGCAGGCTTGCTTTCCCTCCTCCACGATGTTTAAAAGATCGTCCTCCCAGTCCTTTCTTTTGTGGTAGGGTTTCACGTGTGTATATGTGGTATTAGTTTCTCCCTTCAGTTATGGGTTCTAACATTACTTTCTAATAGGTATATTTCCTTCATATGATCTCATCTTCGTTCCTAAAGACAGAAATATGCATAATCCTGAAGGCTTAACTCGCTTGCCAAGCCAGTCTCTTTCCCGCAGTGACGATGACTATTTATTATTGCCAATTCCTGGGCATGATCTTCAGCTCTGGAATGGTGATATCCGGAAGCCATCAGGTTCAGGTCTCAAACGTTCTTCCACTACAATAGAGGATGAAAATGTTAGAGATTTTGTTGCAAGTTTAATTTCAAAATCTCTTGAGGTTCTGCATATTCAGAATCAGCTTGTCATGATTCTGAACTTGATCAATCCATCTGATTATGATTCCATGAAAGAAGCTGCACGCTTATTTTTACCTCTTCTAGATGGCATGCCAGTTGACAATGATGCATTTTCTAGTCCTGTGAAAGAATTCATTGATTCATCTACAAGACTTTCTGCCATAGAGCAGTGGATCTGCAATGAACAATCCTCGCGAGGGTGCAGTGAGCTGTATAACAGTGAAAAGGTTCACTTTGATGATATTTCTAAGGCCTATGAGAAGGCTGTGTCTGACTTTACTTCTTCCAGTAAACATCTTCAGTCACTTCGAGAAGAGGCTTCACATCTTAGGGACATGCTATGCCAAATTGAGGACAAGGTGCTGTGTTGTGAGACAGAGACTTCAGAACTGAAGACTCTCGTAGATAAGATTAATAGAGAAATGCTGGAATCCAAGAGACGCATGCTAAAAGCTGAAGAAGCTTTGAAAGTTTGCAAGCAGAGGGAAGAAGAGGGATGTGCGGCAAAGGCTGCACTGGAGAATGTGAGAATTCAACTTCAATAGTGATTTATACAGCTTGTTTTTAATCTGCAACCTTTTGTTATTCAAATTGTAGATATGTTGGGAGTATGAAAGAAGTATGTGGCTTGCCTTTGAGGAAGAGACAGAAACTTTGAACCTTTTTCAACTGAGAGAAGAGCAGCAATATGCTATCAAGTAGCGTCAGAGAAGGCAGCTTTACATCATCCAGACAATGTAGTTGACTAAGCAGCAATATTGTATTTCATCTTTATGTATGTATAATCTGATGGGAGCCTTGTACTAACTAGTAAATTGTAGATGTCTCTTATGTAAATCCTTCCATCCTTCTCTCTCAATCTTTGTTCATAGCAGCTGTATGTTATAGATAAGTGAAGAATATTAAGTTTCTGGGGCATTGTGGTTCCTTGCTTTTGTTTCCAGCGTCTCGCAGCCTATTAAAAGGAAATGCTGTCCCATTTCGCAAGGCGGTCTAACTTTTGTAGTTTCCCCTTAAAGATTTATCTTCAAAAGAATCAAAACTTGGAATCCTTCTTTAATAATTCACACATTACTCTGTTCCTCAATTGCTCTGCCCATATGTTTTCTCAATTATTAGTCCATACCTAATATAAGTCAAGAGCAACATCAGTGAAAGAAAAAGAATCTCCCTGAGATTCCTCATCCTGAATCACATATGCTAATTATAATATATACTTTTAATAGCACATAATAAACAATGATTTAATTATTCATTAAGATTAGGAGTAGATTTTAGTTAGTGTGACTTGTTTGGGCGGTCCAAGAGTCGAACCCATTGTGATTCCTGGAATTTTGAAGCTGGTTGGACGCACAAATCTCACGCTACAACAATAAGAATATTACAAAATAGTTATAAACTAAAAACATAAATAAAAGTTTGTTTACATATCTTTCTTTCTCTACTCTCCGCCCATCCTCTTTCTACCTCACACTGTTCCTTCAATTACGATCACATTTTATAAAAATTTTACATCAACAACAAATACCAAACAAAAAGGGGAAAAAAAATCTAATCTTTTCTGATGGGCACGCACGTTCTTCACAGCAGATGTGGCCGCTCATACCCTTCCACCGGCTCAAAATCTCTTGACCGATGACTTAGACTTGCCTTTATTTACGTCTTTGGGTGATACCCACGTGGGGTTTTTGTGTTTTTTAGTGAGAAAAATGGAGGAGAAAAAGGGAAGAAATGGTGGATGCAATCCGGTGAAGAAGACGGGGCCTGTGACGATGGAACATGTTTTGTTGGCTTTAAGGGAGACTAAAGAAGAGAGAGAGCAGAGAATTCGTAGTCTTTTTAATTTTTTTGATAAGATAAATTCTGGATATTTAGATTATTCCCAGATTGAGGCTGGCCTTTCTGCTTTGAATATTCCTTCGGAATATAAGTATGCTAAGGATTTGTTGAAAGTTTGTGATGCTAATAAAGATGGACGTGTTGATTATCAAGAGTTTCGTCGTTATATGGATGATAAGGAGCTTGAACTTTATCGGATTTTTCAAGCCATTGATGTTGAACACAACGGTTGCATTTTGCCGGAAGAGCTTTATCATGCGCTTGTTAGGGCAGGTCAGTTTCTAATTTTAGCTTTATGTGTATGTGAACTTACTTTCATTTTTTGCTTTAACTCTGTGATTTGTTTAGAATTTTAGCTGCAAACTAGTCAAAATGTAGATTTAAGATCAACTTTATTGTGTTTCTACTAGTGAAAGTTTGTATCTTTTTTGTGCAATTTCTTTTTCTGGGTTAGTTTATTTATTTCGTTTTGGGAGTTAAATGGAACTGCTGTTATAAATTGGGTAATGCGTTTGCGGGTTGCATAGTTATGTTCGCTCTATAAGCCACAGCAGTCTCTCTTTTGTAGGGATTGAAATTGATGATGAGGAGCTTGCGCGTTTTGTTGAGCGTGTGGATAAGGATAATAATGGAGTTATAACTTTTGAAGAATGGAGGGACTTTCTTTTGCTCTACCCTCACGAGGCAACTATGGAGAACATTTATCATTACTTAGAAAGGGTATGTCTTGTTGATATTGGGGAACAGGCAGTTATTCCTGAGGGTATCAGTAAGCATGTCCATGCGAGTCGATATTTGATTGCTGGAGGAGTGGCCGGAGCAACATCTCGTACTGCAACTGCTCCTCTTGATCGTCTGAAGGTTGTTTTGCAAGTGCAAACAGCGAAAGCTCAAATCATGCCAGCAGTGAGGGCTATATGGAGGGAAGGAGGCATCTCGGGATTTTTCCGAGGCAATGGATTAAATGTCATGAAAGTGGCACCTGAAAGTGCTATCAGGTTTTACATTTACGAAATGGTGAAAAATTTCATAGCAGATGCTAAAGGGATAGATCATAAAGAGAGCGTCGGTGCTGCAGGGCGTCTTTTTGCCGGAGGTTTGGCAGGTGCTGTGGCTCAAACTGCTATTTATCCGATGGATCTTGTGAAAACACGGTTACAAACTTATGTTTGTGAAGATGGAAAAGTTCCTAATCTTCGAGCAATGTCAAGGGATATTTGGGTCCAGGAGGGACCCCGTGCATTCTTTAGAGGCCTTGTTCCATCACTTATTGGTATCATCCCTTACGCTGGGATTGATCTTGCTGCATACGAAACCTTTAAAGATATGTCCAAGAAGTACATTCTTCATGAGAGAGGTAAGGTCTCACTTCATCCAGTAACTGGTATAAGTAAATTTTTCTTTTCTATCTTTGCTTCATTTTTAACCACTTTTCTGTTTCAATTGTTATCTCTGTTGAAATTTTCGCCCCTTTTATAGAACCTGGTCCTCTTGTGCAACTGGGATGTGGGACTCTTTCTGGAGCTTTAGGAGCAACATGTGTCTACCCATTGCAGGTTGTTAGAACAAGGTATATCATGGTTGTACAACTTTTCTGATATGTAGCACTAGCAGCTTTGATTTCACACAATTTTTTGAGCCAAATTTTGTTTCTGGTTTCAGAATGCAAGCTCAGCGTGCAAACACAGGCACTGCCTACAATGGAATGTCTGACGTATTTAAGAGGACTTTTCAACATGAAGGGTTTAGGGGGTTCTACAAAGGGTTATTTCCTAATATGCTCAAAGTTGTTCCATCTGCAAGCATTACTTACATGGTTTATGAGGCCATGAAAAAGAGCCTGGATCTGGAATGAAAAAAAATGCTGCTATATTTGGATGCTAGGATTGACATGGCTGACTAGTCAATTGACATAATAGTGGGAATGCCTCATGATAACGATGGTGAGAAGAAGAATAAAGTTTTCTAAAGGAATAGATTATATTATTGTTTCAGTTACATTTCAGATGCTATTTCTAGCATCAAACACATTGAACGGAGAAAATTGGATTCTGCATTCCTGGTAGTAGCTTGATGCTTCTTTCAAGCAATAAGTATTCACACATATTGTTTGTATGATACAAAAGCATACGGAACAAAATTCACATAAAATCCAAATTGTAATTCTTTTTAGTGGCAGTTTTTACCTAGAATATAAATGCCACTGCTTCTTTACCCAATGCATATCAACTCTGATTAGGTCAAATATCATTTTTGACCGACTTGTAACAGGAACTGTCCTTGAGAAATGGAAACCTCATTCTTTGTTTCAAAATGTTCAAAAAAAATCCTCTGTATTTGGCTACATTCTTATTCATAATGTTGATTGGATACTTGCTCAAGTGAATTACATAAAGTTTCTTATTCCATTAACTGATTGACAGTCTATTAGAAGTTTACAGAACTCTGAAGTTGTGGCTCACTTATTGATCCTTGTTATTATTTACCTTATCCCTGAACTTTACTGATTCCTGTTGCTGCAGTTTTTATATTATTGCCCACATCTTTGCCTTGTTTTGGTTTCGTTTTAGCAATCTTAGTCTGAATTCCATTTGTTTGATTGAAACAAGCTACTGTATAGTTGGACGATGGCACACAGATATGCTTGGTTTTCTTGTCCTTTTTGGCTGCAGTTGATCTGTTCTATGAAAATGGTAGTGAATCTCCTCCATATTTTGATTGATAATGATGTTAACTATTTCAGGATGTGTCAAAAGTATTTCTATATCAGTGTTTACGGTAAAAGCCATTTTCGCAAAAGCATCAGGAGATGCTTATTGTTTGAGCTATAAATGATATTTTAAGTCCTTGACGCTTAATGCTTTATTAGGGAATTGTTATGGCCCGATTTAGTATAATAATCTTGTGACCACCATTATAACAATGGCTATACACTGTTGTTTGACGGAATCTGGGTTTGCTTTCTCTACAAGAACGAACCTCGTGTCATTTTGAATTACTTATGATAACCTTTTGAAACTGATTCTAACAATGATTTTATTCTCTAAAATCTAAACCATTAGTATTCGACACATTTTTATTGTTTTTAGTGTGTGTGTATATATATATATATATATATATAATTTCTTCAAATTTTTATTAAAACAATAATAAATATGTCCCTCCTCTTATTTTATAATTCAGCATGGGAATTTCAAAATTCCATTAAAGGGCTTACTGTGCCCACCGAAAGATGAAGCCCGTAATATGACCCAAAAGGCCCAGAGGAGCTGCTAAACCATGCAAGGGTCAAGATCTAACACTTAATCATCCAACGGTACAGAACACCTCGTTTACTCTTCTATATAGTCATCTTATTAAGCCGTATTTCTCTTCGTTCGCTGAGAAGATACTCTCTGCTAGGGTTTTCTAGGGTTTCTCGGTTCTTCTGTAGCATTTGCAAACATGGTGAGTCCTTTTCTCTCTTCTGTAACCAAACCTTCCGTCCTTTACTCTAGATCTCATCTGTTTTTCCCATTTTATGGATCTTTATTTTATTTTATCGTATTAAATTTTTCAATCTTTGTGCTTCTTTTATTTTTTTTTTTTTTTATGCTCTGAAATATTTCTGTGCTTTTCTTGTTTTATAGTTTGAAGATGTTATCTTGTGTTTGATTTTCTGAGAACCTGTAGGAAAATTAGAGAATGTAATGATATACGTGTTTTTGTTATGCTATATTGATTCTTATCAATCTAGTAGTTGTTATGTGGGTGATAGGTCTTTGTTGCTCAGGTTTAAGGAATTAGGGAATTTTATATTGGCTACTTATATAACTGCTATTATTATTTTATGTATTTTTTTCTTAAAAACTTATGAATGGATGATTCTCGTTGTTTATTAATCTGTTTGTTAATAGTTTTTTGAGCAAGCCAATTAAGCAGCTGGGTTTTTGTTCTGATTCCTTAATTCTTTTTTAGCCGCTAATGGTTTTTTTCTTCTGATTAATGTGAGAATAGGTCCTCCAAAACGACATTGATTTGTTGAACCCACCGGCAGAGCTTGAGAAGAGGAAGCACAAGCTCAAACGTCTCGTTCAGTCACCCAACTCCTTCTTCATGGTGACGACACCTACTCTTTTCCTTTTTTGTAGTTGTTTCGGCATATTAGTTAGCATTCTTTGAATACTTGTTAATTGCTTAGGCATTTGCTAGTTAGCATTCTTTCAGTACTTGTTAATTGCTTAGGCATTTGTTAGTTAGCATTCTTGCAGTAGTGTCTTTGAGTGATCCATTAGGTTTGTTTTGTGTCATTTGAAAATAAGTAAATTACTACTTAATTCAGGCCAATCTTTATCACTAATTTCTCTTTGTTTTGTAACTTCATACTGTGAGTACTACTGATTGGCTTTTTCTTTGTTTCTTTATGATGCTTGATAAAGGATGTAAAATGCCAGGGTTGCTTTAACATGTAAGTATTGTAACTGTTTGTTTTCTTTAAAAAGCTGTTGTTATCTGAATGTATTTGTTTGGCTTTTATAATGGGAATTGGTATTTACTCTTTGGTTTGTCTTTAAATGCAGAACCACAGTTTTTAGCCATTCTCAAACTGTTGTGGTGTGCGGCAACTGCCAGACAGTTTTGTGCCAGCCTACTGGTGGCCGTGCTAGACTCACCGAGGGATGCTCTTTTAGGAGAAAGGGTGATTGAGTTGTTCTGAATGATGCTACAGTTTCATCGTCTTTTTGTTTGATTATGATGTATTAATTTTGGTAGAACTTTTGGTGGTTTGATAACGGCGTAATCTTAACTTTCAAATTTAATTTTATGGTACTTGGTGTAGTGGATTTTTTCATGCTTGAAAGATTATATTTTCCAGCAGTATTAAAGTTGCATTAAGGAAACGTTTTTTCTGGCAGTCTTGATTTCGCATTTCTTGAGTGATAAATATACTTGCAGTATTACTGCATTACATGTGAAATGGACACCTGCTTCTGTCAACCTGAAGCTAATTTGGACATTTGGTTGTTTCTTCTTTAAAAATTGTGTAAGCTGTTTTGGCATCCAACAGCTTTCTGTAATTTGATAAACATTTATAGGGATAAATTATTTTGTGCTTGTTTGCTGAAATTACTTCGAATTCCTAAGGTTAATTTTTTGACTCTGATTTTGGAAATAATCAACTTTGAAACTACCCTCGTCACTTACGAAAGAAATAACGTTGGGTTTTTACCTCTTACACGGTGGGAATGGATGCAAGTTTTCCTATTCCAGCAAAATATTGCAATCCCCATTCCCTCAAAGTGGAGGAAATCGCATTCATCCCAAATTTGGTAGGGAAAGGGCTGGAATTCCCTCCCTACCCCTATTTTATCCTACCCTTAAATAATATATATAAATTTTAATTATTTTATAGTTATAGTTAAATAATTATTAAATTAATATAGATAATTAAAATAACTATTTTGTCCCCCCTCGCCACCTTCAGTATTGCCAAAAATCTACCCGGCATTGTTGTCCTCTCTAGACGTCTGCCTCCACTATTGTTGTCGGCGGCAAACTTTTTATTGGGATCACACATTAACCGTCATCGCTAGCACGTAAAAACCATGGTTCGATGAGTTGTGGACCTGGCTAGGTTTCGACAGTCGAAGATTGCCAGGAAAGCGTCACATGCGGGGTAACGATTGATGTGGCTTGGAAAATTGTTGATTGGTATGCAATTCTTTGAATAAAATAATATATTTTATATTCAAAACAGTTATTTTAGTTATATTTATGGTATTTTATTTCAATTTATATATTTTATAAAATAAAATATTTTAAATTTATTTGGTTGTTTTGACTAATATATGGTTAAGGAATTGTATTGTCTACAAAATATTCATAGATAACAATGTAGCGTTAAGATTATTTTCGTCAAAAAAATCACAAATTTTATTCCACTCTATTACTTTTTATCGTTAAGACTACATAACGTAATTATATTTCTATAACTGTCGATGTTTGATTTTGATACTAATAACCTCGCACGTGTAAAGTGTTAAAATGATATTAAAAATTATACGTGATACGATTATAAGAGTTGAGTATGGTGCAGTAGTGATATATGTTTGAAGAAACATAAATAAAAGATTGACAAGAGGGATTGTTATAGTGGTTCGGATGCTTAAAACGAATTCTACATCCACTATTATTTTATTATTCTCTGACTATTTTTATAATATTGCCTTTAAGGCATACAAAAATAGAGTAATGTGTTGTTTACAGAGAAGATAATGGTTAAAGCTCGAATGTGTGTCCAACTTTCATATGCCAAGCCTCTTTTTTCATGAAGAGAGGTGTCCATTTATACCTTTGAGGTTAATGTAATGAGTGTTTTTGCAAGTTCTCTTGACACTTGTGGATCACTCATTAATCCTTATCTTAAAATGAGATATGATTGATATAAATGCTCTAAAGTCGGTTTGGTCTTGACAGCTAAGTTTATTTTATCCTTTAGCTCTTGCTAAACTTTGATTGATGGGACTGACAGCTCATTATGATTGGTGATACTGATGTCAGTGTAATTTTACCCATAAAAGAAGCCCCACAGTTTTTGGAGTGCGTAATCGCACTTCAAAAACTCATGTCTTTGATCTGAATGGCTGTCGCACTATAGGTTGTAGTCTCGAACTAAAGAGCCCAAATTATGCCTGGTGTAACCAGGTGTTGACTAGGACTGCAATCTGAAAGCTTGGAGCGATCTGAAGCTGATCACGATCTGATAACTGACATAAAATATCTAGTAGATGAATTCTTGGAGAGAGCTAAGCGTCAAAAGCCAAAATGCACGGTTCAAAGGTCCTAAATGAACATGACAACTTAAAACAACCATAACTTTTGATCTACGAGGAGTTTTAAAGCCCGTAAAATATCAACGGAAAGCTCGTTCTGGTTAAGGTCATTTTCGAGGCTAAAATCCACCATTTCGGCATGTTTCAGAGCTGTTTTAAGTTTTCTATGCTCTTTTTCTTATGCTAACAACTGATCACGATTTGATAACGGAGAGCTGAGAATTGAGAACACGATATGAGACTTTTTGCAATGTCAAAGCTGAAAGTTGATCGCGATTTGAGAGCTAGGAGCTGATCGTGATCTGATAGGGGCTCAATCTAAGAGCTTAAGGCGCGCGATCACAACGATATGAATTGTACGATCTCAAGATGAGGAGCATGATCTAGATCGCGTGATCTGAACGATTTGGGGCATGCGATCTGAACAATTTGAGACGTGCGAACTGAACGATTTGAGACACGCGATCTGAATGATCTAAGGAGCATGATCTGAACGATATGAGGCATGTGATTTGAACGATCTAAGGCGTACGATCTGAACTATCTGAGGCGCGCGATCTGAACAATCTGAATTGCGCGATCTGAACAATCTGAATTGCGCGATCTCAAGCGAACGAGCGAGCTTATGAGGTCAATCAGAGAGCTTGATATGAGATCATAAGGAGCTAGATCTGAGAATATAGAGCACAAGGACTTCATCAGAAAGCACGAAGCTTGATATGAGAACACAACGAGTTCGATCAGAAAGCTCAAAGCTTGATTTGAGAACACAAGTAGTTTGATCAGAAAGCATGAAGCTTGATTTGAGATCACAAGCAATTCGATCAGAAAGCTTTAAGTTTGATATGAGAACACAAACAGTTCGATCAGAAAGCGTAGAGCTTGATTTGAGAACACAAGCAGTTCGATCAAAAAGCGTAAAGCTTGATTTGAGAACATAAGTAGTTCGATCAGAAAGCGTGAAGCTTAATCTAACACCACAAATAGTTCAATCAGAAAGTGCGAAGCTTGATCTGAGAACACAAGTAGTTTGATTAGAAAGTGCGAAACTTGATTTGAGAACACAAGCAGTTTGATCAAAAAGCATGAAGCTTGATCTAAGAATACAAGAAGTTCGATCAGAAAGCTTGAAGCTTGATTTGAGAATACAAGGAGTTTGACCAGAAAGCGCGAAGCTTGATCTGAGAATACAAGCAGTTTGATCAAAAAGCGCAAAGCTTGATTTGAGAATACAAGTAGTTCGATCAAAAAGCGCGAAGCTTGATTTGGTAACACAAGCAGTTTGATCAGAAAGCACAAAGCTGGATTTGAGAACACAAGTAATTCGATCAGAAAACACGAAGCTTGATCTGAGACATAAACAATTCGATCAGAAAAAGCAAAGCTTGATCTGAGACATAAGCAGTTCGATCAGAAAACGCGAAGCTTGCTCTTTGAACACAAGCAATTCATTCAAAAAGCATGAAGCTTGATATAAGAACACAAGGAGTTTGATCAGAAAACGTAGAGCTTGATTTGAGAACACATGCAATTTGATTAGAAAGCGCGAAGCTTGATCTAAGAACATAAGGAGTTCGATTAGAAAGCGCAAAGCTTGATCTGAGAACATAAGGAGTTCAATCAAAAAGCGTAGAGCTTGATCTAAGAACACATGCAGTTTGATCAAAAAGCTCAAAACTTCATTTGAGAACAAAAGCAATTCGATCAGAAAGCGTGAAGCTTGATTTGAGAACACAAGTAGTTAGATCAGAAAGCGTTAAGCTTGATCTGAGAACACAAGTAGTTCGATTAGAAAGCGTGAAGCTTGATCTGAGAACACAAAGAGTCCGATCAAAAACCACGAAGTTTGAACTGAAAACACAGGTAGTTCGATTAGAAAGCACAAAGCTTGATATGAGAATACAAGAAGTTCGATCAGAAAGCGCGAAGCTTGATCTGAGAACACAAGCAGTTCGATTAGAAAGCGTGAAGCTTGATCTGAGAACGCAAGCAACTCGATCAGACAACGTGAAACGTGATATGAGAACATAACCAGTTCGATCAGAAAGCATGAAGCTTAATCTAAGAACATAAGGAGTTCGATTAGAATGTACGAAGCTTGATCTAAGAACATAAGCAGTTCGATAAGAAAACGCGAAGCTTGATCTTAGAACACAAGTAGTTCGATCAGAAAGCGCGAAGCTTGATTTGGTAACACAAGTAGTTCGATCAGAAAGCGCAAAGCTGGATTTGAGAACACAACTAGTTCGATTAGAAAGTGCGAAGCTGAATTTGAGAACACAAGCCGCTCGATTAGAAAGCTCGAAGCTTGATTTAAAAACACAAGCAGTTCGATCAGAAAACGCAAAGCTTGATCAGAGAACACAAGCTGTTTGATTAGAAAGCGAGTTTGATCTAAGAACACAAGGTTAGCGATCTGAGTGCTCAAAAGCACAATCTGGGTGCTCAAATGCATGATATGTGCGCTCGAAAGCATGATCTGGGTGCTCGAAAGCACGATCTAGCCGCTCGGTAGCGCGATCTAAATGATCTTGAATGCGTGATCTAAGCGCATTGAGAGCTCCAGAGCTTAGGAGCTAGAGAGCTTAAGAGCTCGATAGCTTGGGAGCTCGAGAGCTTGAGAGCTAGAGGCTCTTTCTGATCTGAGAGCTTTGATGTGCGCAATCTGAGAGATCTGAGCACGAAATTTGAGAGCTCTGATATGGAACAAGCTTCAGTATTTTGACGATAACTTGAGCTGTAGACCTTGGATTTTGATGATTATTGGACCATTAGAAAGCTAACTCGAAGGGCTACAATTCTTGTGTGGCTTCTCTAGATTCAGACTTTATCCTACTTAGATTTTCACATCTGATAACCTGATTTTGGAAAATAAGCTGAAATTTGCTAAAGAAGTCGAAACTTGCTGAAAGAGGTTGAGACTTGCTGGAAAAATATGGAGAGCTGGTGTGAATCATGCCCTTACTCTAGCGCTAAATTGTTGATGCTTGATTTTGACACCAACGACTTTGCACGTGCAAACTGCTAAGAGGATTTTAGAAATTACACGTGATATGATTATGAGAGTTGAGTATGGTGCAGTAGTGATATATGTTTGAAGAAACATAAATAAAAGATTGACAAGAGGGATTTTTATAGTGGTTCGGATGCTTGAAGCGAATCTTACATCCACTGTTATTTTATTATTCTCTGATTATTTTTCTAGTATTGCCTGTAAGGCATACAAAAATAAAGTAATGCTTTGTTTACCGAGAAAAATAATGGTTGAAGCTCAAATGCATGCCTAACTCTCATATGTCAAGCCTCTCTTTTTCATGAAAGAGGTGTCAATTTATACCTTTGAAGTTAATGTAATGAGTGTTTTGTAAGTTGTCTTGAAACGTGGGGACCACTTTTTAATCCTTGTGTTAAAATGGGATAAGATTGATATAAATACTCTTAAGTCAGTTTGGTCTTGATAGTTAAGTTTATTTTGTCCTATAGCTCTTGCTAAACTTTGATTTATGGGATTGACAGCTCATTATGATTGATGGTGCTGATGTGAGTGTAACTTTACCCATAACAATACCTATCATTATTCTCATTTTCATTCTTATGTATTCCACGAAGTAAACGCCACCTTTATTATTTGAATCAAGACATTTAATGAAACTATAAGTTCAATACATAGTGTTGAAAAAATAGAATTCTTTGTTTATTATAGACAATCTCTTATTCACAAACTTCATGTGCACACAGGGACGTAGCTAGGATTATGAGTTAGTAGGTTCAAAACATCAAAGTTGATAAATTTACAATAAAATATATACTGAAGTAATAAACATAAAAAATATACTTTTAAAATACAAAATTATCAATTCTACAATTGTCTTCGACGATTTTTCATATTCTGAAAACGTTGCATAATTGCTTCATTGATAATTCCATCAAATATCTCTCTCTCAATATATGTAATGAGACAATCATTTAACAATTGATCTCCCATTCGATTCCATAGTCGATTTTTCACAATCTTCATCGCATAAAATGCTCTTTCAACACTTGCAGTTGCAACAGGTAATATTAATGCTAATTTCATGTCTAAAAAGATAACAACACAAACAAAAACACCATCATTTTATACTCCAACCAATTTGCATATTCTCTAAACCAAATGGGATTAAAACGATGCATTAAATTCTCAATTGCTCGCTTTTTAAAATTATGATTGTGTGGTTGGCAAGGTCCTTTTTGCAAGTATGCATTTCTCACTTTGTCTCTATCAATAGGATGATATTCTAAAATTTTAATCCTTAATCCAGGATCTGCAGGAAGACTACTCAAGTTAAGCTTAACATATATTTGTCTTGAACTAGATTCTATAGGCTCATTGTGAACACTATCGTGACGCCTTCTGTTTTGTTCAATTGATGGTCCCTCATTAAAAAACTTTCTTTTGATAAAAAACTTGTCCATAACTAAAAAAAATAAAATAAAAATTATTATCAGAAATATAATTTATTTGCAATTACAATTAAAAAACAACACAAATTTATCAAAATTCAACTTATAACTTAGGTTTTTCAAACAATTTCTACTAACCTAATAAAATTGAACTCATAAACCCGTGAAAACTCATCAAATCTAACTATAAATATCAAGTAACTAACCAACATATCGAAATTAAATCAAATCCCCAAATCTCTACAACTTAGGGTTTCATCAATTCTTTAAACCATATTCAAAATTAACTCAATAACTAACCACAATTTATCAAACCCAACTTAAAACAACAATTAATTAACTCATACCTCAACATAAATAATATTAAATCAAAACCCACATCAAAATTTATGAATTATTTCAAACTCATTTATTAAGCTCAATAAAAACTTATAACTCATGATCTTTCATCAATTAGGAAAGCTAAAAGAAAAGAATTAATTTTAAGTAAAAAAATAAAAATAAAATTAGTATCATCTTACCTTGTATTCTAAAGGAGTATCATTTCTTGAGTATCAAACCAAAAGAAAAATATAATATGAGAGCAAAAAGAGGAAATAAAGAAAAGAGAAAAGTTTAAAAAATATTGATTAATAATTTATTTTGTAGGGTCAACATGAAGTTAAGTGGGGTTAAAATTATAAAATCTATAAACTATTAATACTTTTTTGAAATTTTTGAAAAGTTCAGTGCGTTCAATTGAACTCACAAGCCACTATATGGCTACGTGCCTGTGTGCATATATATATATTTGAGTGCGTTTGTTTTAGTATTTGAGATAGTATTTTTGATATTTTTAGAGTTGGATGGGAATAACGAGGTAAGATTTGAAAATGAACAAAAACACTTCATAGGTTTGGTAATTTACTAAACACCCCTGTAATAAAAACATTAAAAATTACAAAAACACCCATTAAATACTAGCAACTAGCCACCATCGTAGGAAGGTGGCCAAAGTCGCTGTATCGACGCACGACTGACTGGATTTGGTCGGTCGTGCACCGATATGGCCTTTTCCAGTTTAATCCACCGTAGATCTAGCCATGTTTGGTCGTCAACGATGACCATATCTTGATCGTTGTTGAAGACCAACTACGGCCGTAAATTTGGCATTTTTCGGCCATATCGATGGTGGATTTGGCCGGTAAATGATAGATCGGCGCACTACCAGCCAGATCCAGCCAATAGTGCACCATTATACTAGAATCTGGCCACCTTTTGGTAGTGATGGCTGGAATCTGGCAATTGTGGGTGGGTAGTAGGGATGGGCAGGGGCCGGGGTGGGGCGGGATAGGGGACCTTTGTCTCTGACCCCAGCCTGAAAGCCCAAGGGGATTCCCAGATCCCGGCCCGAAGCCAGTTCGGGGAATTCCTGAAAAAAGCCCGTTCCCCAAACGGGGAATTCGGGGATTCCCCGAATTCCCCGTTTGGGAATTTTCTGTCTTTTTGTATCCTTATTAGTTTTATTATCCTTTTCTCCAAATTATATATACCAACAAAAAAATAAAAATAAAAATATAAAATACATATTAAACATAATGACCATATCATCAAAAAATAAATTAAATCTATAATGTACATATTAAATATATAATCTAGGATTTGGGAATAATTTGTGTTTATAAAGGAAGGGCAAAATTGTTATTATGAAAACATAACAAGGGAAAATGGTAATTATGTAATGGAATTGAAAATTTGAAATTCATTTAAAACGAAGGACAAGGTCTTGGTCCATACTCTATTACTCTACAAGGTGTCACGTATTTTATTTATAAATTATAATGATTAAAAAGAATTATAATGATTTATACATTTATTATAATAAATAGCGAATCCAAAAATTTCTGTTAGGGTAAGCCAAAATAAAAATTAATTACACATTAATTTTTTTTTTTCAATTAACAATTCTGTTAGGGTAGGCCAAAATCCAAAAATTATACATATTAGTATTTTTTTGTTAAAATGCCCACCCTCAACAAGTGTTGGATCCGCCCCTGATCAATGATTATAATGAATCCAAATATCAAAATGATAATTATAATACATTATACATATATAAATATATTATATATTAACAGTATAATATTATGTATTATTGTATTAAGTAATAAGTATTAACATATATAATGTCTCTTTAATATATAATGTATTACATATGATACATTATACGTATATATTATAATAAATTCTAAATAAATAGCTATCACAATATAACAAAGACAATTAAGTAAAAAAATTGAAATAAATTATTCAATGAGGTACAAAAAAAAAAAAAAAATTATAATGATTTATTGATTCATTATAATAAATCAAAACAACAAATAATATATTATATATATATATTATGTATTAATGTAAGATTATAGATAATAGCATATTATGTATAAATTATAATGTACAACATATATATGTTATATACATTATCCTTATATAGTATATACCATATGTAATATACAATGTCTAATGTATAATGTCAAATGTATGCCATATATAATGTATAATATATAATGTCGAATGTATAACTTTTATTTCATAGTATTAACATATTATATATAATATATACATATTACAAATATTCTAGTTTTATTTATTACCTATTTATATATATATTACAAATATTCAAGTTTTATTTATTACCTATTTGTATATAGTTTCATAAATTATTTATACAATTATAATTTGTCATTGTATAATGTATAATTAATTTTCAAATATTAAAATTATAATATGTATATATGATTGATTTATATATATATATGGGGGCTGGGGCAAGACCTATCCCGATCTTTCCTCGAATTTCGGGGCTAATCTTAGGGTTGATCCCAGCCTAAAGCCCGAACGATTTGAAAAAAATCTATCCTGTTCAGGTCGGGTTGGGACAGGTTCCCGTGGGGTCAGGCTTTGTGTCCATCTCTAGTGGGTAGGGGTGTTTTTGTTATTTTTTAAATTTTTTTTAAGAGATGTTTAGTTAAATTAATAAACTTAAGGGATTTAAAAATGTTGAATGAAATATAATAATATTTTTTATAATAAAAAAACAGACGTGTATTTTGGAAATAGTATTAATAGAATAGTGACGTCCCGGAGATTTTAAAGGTCCAGAAGAACTGCTAATCATCTAACGGTCCAGAATGCCTCCTTTACTCTTTATATATAATCATCTTATGCAGCGCAACTTCTCTCCGTCTGCTGAGGTACGCTCTGCTAGGGTTTTCTAGAGTTTCTAGGCTCTTCTGTAGCACCTGCAAACATGGTGAGTCCTTATCTCTCTTCTGCAACGAACCTTCCGTCCTTTAATTTGGACCTCATATGTTTTTTCCATGTAATGGATCTTTATTTTATTTTATCGTATTAAATTTCTCAATATTTGTGTTTCGTTTAATTTATTTTTTTTATGCTCTTAAATATTTATGTGCTTCTGCTGCTTCATTGTTTGTAGATGTTATCTTGCGTTTGGTTTGGTGAGAAATCTTTAGGAAAATAAGAGAAAGTAATGCCGTGTGTGTTTTTGTTGTGTTGGTTCTTATCAATCAAGTATTTGTTATGTTAGTGATGGGTTTTTGTTGCTCAGGTTCAAGGAATTAGAGAATCTAATATTGGCAACTTATGTAACTGCTATGTTTGTATTCTTAAAAATTTATGTTTATTTATCTGTTTGTTAGAGAACCTAACAACAAAGTTTTTGTTCTGATTTCATAATTCATTTTTAGCTGCTAATGGTTGTCTTTTTTCTTCTAATTAATGTGAGAATAGGTCCTCCAAAATGATATTGATTTGTTGAACCCACCGGCAGAGCTTGAGAAGAGGAAGCACAAGCTCAAACGTCTTGTTCAGTCACCCAACTCCTTCTTCATGGTAACAACACCTACTTGTTTTTTGTTGTTTTTAATTGCTTCGGCAAATGTTAATTGGCATTTTGGCAATACTTGTTAATTGCTTAGGCATTTGTTAGTTAGCATTTTTCCAGTACTGTTGTATATTTGAGTGATGGCATTAGGTTTGTTTTGTATTAAATTACTACTTAGTTCAGGCCAATATCGTTGATTTCTCTTTGGTTTGTAACTACATATTGTGAGTTCTAATGATTGGCTTTTTCTTTGTTCCCCTTTGATGCTTGATGAAGGATGTGAAATGTCAGGGTTGCTTTAACATGTAAGTATAATAACTGTTTTCTACTTTAGAAAGCTTAGGTTGTTATTTGATCATATTTGTTTATACTTAAAAATGGGGATTGGGATTCACATTTTGGTTTGTCTTTAAATGCAGAACCACAGTTTTTAGCCACTCTCAAACTGTTGTGGTGTGCGGCAATTGCCAGACAGTTTTGTGCCAGCCTACTGGTGGCCGTGCTAGACTCACAGAGGGATGTTCTTTTAGGAGAAAGGGTGACTGAGTTTACTGAATGATGCAACAATTTCATCATCTTTTTGTTTTGGTTATGATGTATTAATTTTGGTAGAACTTTTGATGGTTTGACAATGGTGTAATCTTTTGTTTTAAATTTTAATATACTTGGTGTAGTGGACTTTTTCATGCTTGAAATATTACATTTTCCACCAGTGTTTAAAGTTGCATTAAGGAAATGTTTTTGCTTGCAGTCTTGATTTTGCATTTATTGAGTGATGAATGTCCTTGAGGGTTAATGGCTGAGAAAATATAATTTGTGGTTAGATTCAGTTTTTTGTCAAATGCATGGAAGGAGCGTGGTTTGGGACCTTTGGTTCGAAAATCTTCAGGTCTCTGAACTGCGTCGATGGATGGTCAGTTCTATGATTCAACCATATAGCATGAAGTAATTCTGGGCTACTTATGAAGCATGTTTTCAGGGGAGGAACAAAGTTTAGGTTTCTACACTGGCAAGACAGATGGTCAATTCAATTTATTCATCTAGTTTGTCAGCAATGATGGATTCCAAACCTTTCTCAGCCTTTTGGCTAACATCAAGTGTAGTATCTGTTCTTATCAGTTTAATGATGGACTCCAGGCTACTTCTTTTGCTAGTTTGCATATTCTCCTTTTACAATTTTGCACCAATATACAATTCTGGATTGTGGCTGCTTATTCGGCAAGTCTGCATATTCTTCTTCACATTTTGCACTAAGATACATGTAAGATGTATCGTGTTTGTAACTTGGTGTGTCTGTGATCTTAGGATTGCTGCTAATAAATTAATAATTGGGTTGTGAAAATCCCAGTCAGAAAACTGTGTTGATCTACTCACCTTCATTTTTAGTCATTGTAGCATTATCTGCTTAAAGTAAAGCTAGAGATTCACGTAAACTTGGTTCTTCAACTTGGGCATGTGGATGCAGGCAATTTTGCACATTATCGAAGATGACCTAAAGACCAATATATTCAACTTTAAACTTATTTGTATGGATATAAAAAGAAAAAAAAAAAAAAATTCATTTTATATGTTGTTTTTCAGAAAAGCTATGTTCCATGTTTACATGAATAGCTTGTTTTCAGATACTGGCATGAAAAATAATTTTGACAGTCCCCAAATCATTCCACAGCACATGTTTCACAATCTTAAATGTAGATGAAAAGGTTATCTGAGCTCCACATCACATGTATTGGCTTGGGACGCCTCTTGTAGTTGTCGTTGTCAGGACAGGTATGTAGATGACCCACTCTTTATTAATTGTCCCTCCAATTTACAAGTCTTGAAAAGGAACTTTGCTCGAGTTCGAGGGGCCTGTTTCTTTAAGCTTCCTTCTGTTTTTAATTATAACATCATCAAATGAAGATGACTAAGTTTAAATCCGGATAAACATAACAACGATCTTGATCTCCCAGTACGATATCCATCAACAAGCCATGCATCAGTCGTTTTTTGCGGATGTGAATACGTCTTCACTATGCAAAATTTGTCAAATGATGTCAGTCTATAAGTGGCTACTAGTTCACATTAAATCGCAAAATTTTATCTAAGTTTTCAAAAATCACAAACGTCCATCTCAAAGTTTAACTATCTTTTCCAATTATAAAGAGCTAAAACCAAGCTCGGTAGAATGGCAAAAAGGGATGCCAAAGCATATAATGTATAAAGTCAATAAGAAATCAAATCACTAGACATATATATCCAATCCAATTCTTTTTCTCCCATTCTCTGTCCACAACCTTTTATCCGTACGGCGCAAATCTCGGCCCTTTGTGCAGCACATTGAAAAGGGTATCTTCTGCTGCTCTCTCAGTTACTGGAAACCAACAGAAATTCTGAAAATGGGTCTGTTTTTAGCAGCATTATGATTCACATTTGAATGGCAATACAAATACGCTTGGACTGATATAGTGATATATAATTGTATGATTGACCAAGTTTTGGTTGATTATAGCGGTTTGTCGAGCACCAGTAATATTATAAAATTTTATCTAGAGAAAGATGATTGGCGGTGTTTAAGTTATGAGAGTTGCCAACCATCTTAAAAACTGGCACATGGGTGATGTAATCTTTCACGCTCATTATTGGGAAATCTGAACACTGCCATTATATAAATTTGTTTAAACTGCATATTTGGTGGGCTGTTGTTATGTTGGTCAACATATTCATGCTCTAAACCTCTCTTGTTTAAACGCACCGGTTTTCGTTTTTATAAGATAAGCCCTGTGAGTCAACCACGAACTACTTGGAAAATTTTTATTAAGTTTCTAGGAAATTATAGATAATAAAGCAATAAATTTAAGTGTTCTGACTGAAAGATTTTCTTCTGAGAATCGAAGCTTGAGCATGTGATTGTGTATGTGGGCATGCATGTGATGTGGGATTGTGTCATCATCATGTCATTGTCACATTTAATGATGCATGCTCCTCCCATACTGTTCTTTAATGATCTTTTCATTTTTTTTTTTTTTTTTTTTTTTTAAAATTAACTCTCTTCTTCTTCTTCTTCTTCTTCTTCTTTGGGTTAAGTAATTGAGATATAATTGCAGGCCTGCAATTTGTATTTGAAAAGAGAGATACTTTTAAGATTGGATATGGTTGATTAATTAATTACTTGATTTATCTTTTGATAAAACGAACGTAGATTATGGAAAGTTGAAAACTTTTGATCATTGTTAAACCTCGAGGAAGCTTCATTCATCATTAAATTTAATTATCTCATTGCCTTCACCAACTATTCTTCCTCTATGATTTGTTATATTGTTAGGCACAAAATTAACTTTACTAATTTTAAAGAAACTGTTTTTCTTTTTCTATTTTTTAGTATTTAGTTGTGGAAAAAGAAAACACGAATCATTTTACGTACACAATTATCTCAATGTTTTAATAAATTATACAATTAAGTAAAGATAAAATAAGCTTCTCAACATTTATTCATATATGAATTCATCTAATGACATGAATAAAATAGATATTCTTTCAGAATCATATATATAATTTTTTTTTTTTTTTTTTTTTTCTAAAAGCATTAGCATTTCCAAAAGTGATATCTATCACTTCTTTAAGAAAAGCGACTTTTTATAAAGAGTCTTACAAAAAGAATTTACACCTCACATCTACATTATTGAAATGTGGAAATTTTTAGGGTGTATTGATGAACTTGGAGGAAGCTTCATGCATTGATTAGTTGATCTCATTGTTTCTATCACTCTCTCTTAATTTCTTCTTCCAGTTTTACCGTTAATTTCTTGTTAATATAGAAGTGATATGATATATCCGATATGATTTAGACTTTCTTAATTATCATGTATTTGATGGAACTTGGAGAAAGTTTTGTTTATTGATTTACATGATTTCATTGTCTCTCTTAATTTCTTCTTCCATTTTCACCTTTAATGATCGATCCAAGTTTCTTTGTCAGTATATATCTTTTATAATTTAGACTTTCTTAATCTTATCATGTATTGATGAAACTTGGAGGAAGCTTTGTTCATTGATTGACATGACTCTTAATTTCTTATGTCTTGGTCTCCAAAAAAGATATGAAAAGTGAAAAAATAAGTGTATATAAAAATCTGAAAAAGTGAGACAAAGACTATTAATTGGTGATCTTAATCCATTAATTCACGTACACATTTTTGCCTTTTCTTGTTCGCTATAATTTAATTGCAAACCCCACGTAACTAAACTGACTTCACAAATAACTGTTCATACTTTGAAAGAGAAATATTAATAAAAATGTTAAGCTTAACGAGAAGGATTGATGATTGATGAACTGTATTTTTGTTTTGGTTCTATTATTTGATTTAATTTAACACCATGCATGTTGAAATGGATTAAAAATTAAACAAATATTGAATCAATTAGATTATGACAAAAAAAGCATAAATACATAAACAGGCCAATGGGAAAATGAATTAAATTTTCACAATTTCTTGGAAGGTATCGCAGCTTTTAAACAAAGGGGGGCAATAAGAATAATAAAAAAGCAAGAAAATCATGAGGCATCCAACTACTAAGATTCACCCCATTAGTTTCTAAATATGATTAAGGTCCCACTTAGTGCTTTAAGTTTAATCCTAATTTTTTTGTAATTAAAATTGGTCACAAATGAAAGAAAATACAAGAGACGAGAGTCGCCTTAACTAAACAATGAAATCTTGTCTTTACATAGACTTGATTATGTATAAATAATAACTGGGATGCCGTTATTACCGGCCCCGCGTAAACTTCTCTGTTTCTTTGCTAATAGATTTTTCTTGTTGTCTTTTCTCTTTTCTTTCTTTCTTTCTTCTACTTGACAGATTCTCTTTCTGTCCCAGTTTATCCATTCATGGTGATTCGGCTAGAGTCACACACACCAAGTTTATTGCATGCCATTAAAAGAGTCTCTTTGTAGCAGTTGTTGTTCTTGTTTTTTGTCAAGTTCTTTGCTCACAAACTTGGTATCTTCTTCCTCTATTTAAACGTACGGTTTATTATTATTTTTTATTAGTTAAATGTGTTTAGCTTTATGATTGTTTGTAGTTGAACTTGTTTACTTCTCTTTATTGTTTTTGCTTTTGTTTCTTGTGTTCTTGCTTTTCATTAATGTTTAATTCGTTGGTTCTTTTTTGCAGAACTTCATGTCGTCTTTGGAAGCAAGAACGGGGCGACTCAGGCAACGTTACGATGAAAACAATTTGCGACTTGTTTCTGGGTAATATATATTTCTTTTCTTGTGTTCTTCTCCTCTCAATCTTGATTCTGATTCTTTTACAATTTTTCTTCAATTCTGATGCATACATTACATAAAAAGTCACCGATTTTCAATTCGGATAATCTGTGTTTTCGACCTGAAAACTCCAAAAAAATCTTGACATACCTAAAATTTTCATTTTATGAAGATCTACAGATCTTTAAATTATGTCCTAATTATTCTTAAAATTAATTGGGAGAGGTGAACCGCACCGAGGTATCTTTGTGATCACAGCTTATTTTGGGTTTTTGGAAAGGAGAAGAATATTTAGTTCTATGAGAAGTTTGTCTTCTTTTGGAGATGATAAAATATATTATTGCACACACACTCTTTGAGTTCTCCAATAATTTTAACCATAGAGACTTTATCATTGATATTGACTTTATTATAATTTTATGACCTTTTCTGATATGTTTTGTCCCCATATGTGGAATTTGTTCATCAGATTTATAAATAATAGATATTGGTTGGACTGTTTTGGCCATTTCTTCAGAGACGGGCCAGGTTTAGGTGGGCAATGCTTTTGTCTGTGTTGCTAATATCGATTGGTGTAAAAGTTAGATGATTGCATTCTGTGACTTGGAGGCTCAGATAATTATTGTCCAGTAGAATTCTGATTTGATACTATTTTAAATCATCTTTTTGTTATGTAAGAAAGAGGTAATTACACAGTGACACTGCTGAAATCATCTTTTCTGAAGTGTGCATAACTCATGATCTGGTTGTGTTTTGGCTCTCCATGTAGTTGTTATTTTGATCCCTCGTGAGGGGGTTAACATTTGCATATCCCAAGTCTCCATTTAGAAGACTGACACATGGCTTCTGAATGCTTCACGCTCGGTTAACTCTGTTTGAGTTGCTGCATTAACCAGTGTTTTTGTAAAGAGGTCTAAAAACTAATCGATTAAGAAGAAGATGACATTTAACATTAAGAAGAGTTGAGAAGCAAGATCATCTTTTTTAATGTATGAAACATAATGATGGGAAAATTTTAGAACTTGTACATTTAGCAAACCAAATCCTTTGTCCTGTCAATATTTGTTGCTTGCCTGCCTGTGAATTCTTTTGCAAACCACAGTTCATTTATTGTAGCGTAATGAAGTTGTACATATATACAACAGATGCATTCCCTACAGGCTAACAAAGGACGACGGGAATCAAAATGATGATATAGAGAACAAGATAGAAGTTGCCATGGTTTCTTCACCTAATCGCAGCGATCTAGTGTTCCCTAAGGTTCAACATTTTCTCTTCTCACCATGTTTTGCATAAAAGTATTTTCGCTGCTCTAGCACTTGGAAAGCTGAATCTCTAATATTTACCTTTCCCATTGTTTCTGTTTTCAGGGTGGATGGGAGAATGATGAAACTGTCATTGAAGCTGCTTGTCGCGAAGCCTTAGAGGAAGCAGGAGTGAAAGGAATTCTAAGAGTAGTTTTTTTTTTTTATTCTTGCTTTGTAATTAAATTAAGATTTAAGAGCTCATCTCATGGTTATTAGTAAGGCTGAATTTGAGAAATGCATTTAGATTTTTTACTTATTGTTTAATGAGCTAAGTGATATATATTTTCAGGAAAATCCCTTGGGAGTTTGGGAGTTCAGAAGCAAGAGCAGACAAGACCTGCTCAGCCAGGAAGGTGGCTGCAAAGGTTACATGTTTGCATTGGAGGTGACTGAGGAGCTTGAGTCCTGGCCAGAGCAGGAAAACCGCTGTAGGAAATGGGTCGGTACAATCCATTCGCAGAGAAATTGTGTAAAGTTTAAAGCATCTTTCATGTTAAATATTTCTAACTATGGCTATTTTGCTTCTTGAAATTTCTATAGCTAAACATAAAAGATGCCTTTGAACTATGCCGATATGAATGGATGCGTGAGGCGCTGGAAGCGTTTCTCGGAGTCATGGCCAAGGAGGAAAAGATTGAGACGGAAGAAGAGAAAGTAGACCCCCCTACTACTTCGCCATTATCAGAAGTTGTAGCAGAGTGTCAAATTATCTCATCGTCAAATTGCTATGTAAATCCTTCCAGTAGCCAACATCACAGTATTAATGCTTTAAGCGCATTTCCTTGGCAAATTACTCTCAAGAGGTTTCCATTGACGTAGATATATTGATCTCTTGCCAAATGCTCATTATTATCTGCCTCTTTTACAGTGTTTGCAGTAGCTTCTTGTGTAATTCGTAGTGTCCTGTAACGCCTTCCATTTTGGAAAAACCAAATTGTGAAGTGAAAAACTGATTTCGCATATGCCTTCAAATTTTTAGTGAAATGATCTATATTAATTTTCTCAAGTTTATATCATCAATAGAATATTTGTGATAAACAATCTGTAGTTTTGCCTGATGATAGTTGTTTTTTCAACTGACATGAAACTCTTATATGATCAATTTGGATTGGAGTTTGTCATTGATGATTGTCAAAGCAACCTGAATTTCTCGGTTGGATTTCAGTCGGGCTAGTAAAAAATCACCTCAAACAAATTTCAGAAACCACAACAACTGCAAACACTACGTTTCCCTTGACCAGGAATGAATCTTAAAGGGAGGGCAGGAGAAAGTAGTTCAAGTTCCTTCCGCGATTGAAGTTACTCAATATCAGTTGAGGCTAAAATCTGAATTTTAAATCCCAACTAAAATGGACTATTTGCCCGACAGGCCTTCTAAATTCCCGGAAATTAAAGCCCTTTGCAAACACCTGCACACAAATGACAAAACACAACATATCTCTTTGAAAAGCCAAGGTGGAGACCGGAGAAATTCTGGAAAATGAGTTTTGCTACAGTATATTGTCGTCGTAAAACTTGTAAACAAAAACTATAAAACCTGCAATAGATGCGGGAGGGAAATAGAGATCACATGACTGCACTCCAAAAATGGTCAAGGTTTTGGTTAAACTCTAATGGTTTCATGTTATTAAATCCGGAGTTGAATGCACTAGCACATGACATTAATATCCAATTTAGTGAAAGGTTTTTTCTGAGAGGCAAGGTATCCTATAATCCTGAAAAAATGATTTAAAGTAAATAAATAAAATCGAGAATCATGTAAGCATATAGCTACTAGTGCTGCCCACTTTGGCTGCACATGGGAGAAAAAATACTTCGATGTTTGAACAAACCCCACAATTAAACATAGCTTCATGTTCTTAGGGTTTGGTTTCTCAGCAAATATATATTATGGTATTTTAAAAATAATATGACCAACCCTCTTTCAAATCGTGTAGGTTTTTTGACCTATTGTGTCTTGGTTCAATCAAATTCTTGGCTACATTATTGAATATATATAGATTAGTGAAAAAACATGAGACATTCCTCAATTTTAGGATATTTTTGTTTGGTCTTAGCTTTGTTTCTACCAAGATGCATGCTACAAATTATTTCAATTCTCATGCTAATTTTAATTAACATCTCAAGAATGCTTCATACATTATAAATGTAGAATAGAGAGGGACAATTTTTTTTTTTTTTTTTTTTGGTAATCCGGTTGTTCGGGCCACTGACACGCACCTCAACTAATCCCGGTCCATTGAACACCCTATAAGCTTAAGGGACCAAGTAAACCACAATTTTATTGTGATAAGTAATCCCAAGTTTGAACCCATAAACTCAGAGAAGAGGACAAACCGTCAGGCCAACCCCTTAAGGTTAGAGGGATAATTAGACAAAGAGCCACTTCAAATTAGCATTTTAATCTCGATAATAAGTTAATTATATATGGTTAGTGCATGCCTGCTAGTTAATATTGTTTCTTCAAAATAATAGGTAAAGCTCATCACATGCTGCCCAACATGCCTTCCTTTCCCTTCCTTAATTATATTCCCAATCATAATTTAAAAAGAGGTGCTTCAAAATTAGCAAAATAATAATAAATAAATAAATGAAAGTAAATTAAAAAAAATAGAGCATAAAAAGGGAGCTTGGGGGTTTGAAAAAAGAGCCAAGGCTGTGGAACTTATCATTGATTTTCTTCATCAAATTGGGTGCACATGGCTGACCCTATTTTATTCCTTCACCACCTTTATATAACCCCATTAATTTAATTTAATTAAATAAGATGATTTAGTAGCCCAATTAACCAACCCCTTTTAGAAAATCACCCTCGTTGTAACTTTTTCTTTTTGTTTATTCATGATAATCATCTCCATTTGCAAGTAATTACAAGATAACAAGTCCAAAACCGAGATTAATTTAATTTGATTAATGAATTTTCTCTTTAGATCATAGATACTCTCTGACAGGAGAAGCTAGGGGGAATGTATATGCACTCTCATTCAAAAGATTATCTTAACACAAAACTTAAAAATTAATTGTAGATTAATGAGGGATAATCTCTGACGAGATGTTGTCGTGATTCTTCTTTCAGAAATCTTCTTGGAATTGGATTAATCTTTGCAATTAACGCTGAGAATAATTTTCATTAAAGTGGTCAATCTTGGGAAAGATGCATGGATAGATATATACATCATATAACAATCATGTGTATGGTTAATGATATTATGGGACCTGGGTTAATCATGTATAGAAAGGTAGGCATGCATCTGCAATGATAATCAGAATGTGCAGAGAGTTGAAGCTTTTGGAAGAAGAGTTATTAGATTGCGTATGCTATCCATGATTGATCAGAAACTTCACATGTAACCGTTTTGGAGTGTATACCATATCCAGAAACAAACATTTTCATTAAACCAAAAAAAAAAAAAGATTGATTGGAGAATAATCATCAACACATGGAACTGCTAATTATGCCAACCCACTTTCTTTCTGTTAATTTATTTATTGATCCCATCATTTGAAAAGCTGAAACTCATCACTTAATCTTTTAGATTTGAGTTTTTAATTTCTGGGCCCCTGGAGATGGGGTCTTAGATTCTTTTTTGGCTCGCATTATTGCAGTCATCTCTTCAAGAAGTTGACAAAAGTTGGTGGTAATTTGGTTTTCGAAAACCAATTGATGTGTTATATATCAAGGTTAAATATCTTGTAAAACTGACTGAATACATGCATAATATACACATTACTTCATTAGTTATTATAAACTAGAATCCAAATTCCTTGTACAATGATGTTGTAATGTTCACAACAAAATATTATCTGATTCATATCCTGGAAAACTTTTTTTAAGCTTTGAACATGGAAACGGTTGAAACTTTAATTGAAACCCCCACATGAAATCGTTTAGTAAAATATTTCAATAATCCCAAAGGGAAAGGCAAAATGGTAAAACAGCATCACCCACAGGAGAAGACAAAGACACCTCTTAGTTCTTATATATATATATATATATATATAACGACTCCAATTCACATGCAACAACCCACAACACATCACCAAAACAAAGAGAAGAATACAGAAAAAAATATTTCACATTTCACATCAAATCATTCATTCACCATGAATTCATCATCCACGTCAAAGAGCAAGAAGAAAAAGACACAACCACAAGAAGGAGGCGGCACCAAATTCTTGGGAGTAAGAAGGCGGCCATGGGGAAGATACGCAGCAGAAATAAGAGACCCTTCAACGAAAGAAAGGCATTGGCTTGGAACTTTCGACACTGCTGAAGAAGCCGCTTTGGCTTACGACAGAGCCGCCCGTTCCATGCGTGGCCCTCGAGCTCGCACTAATTTTGTTTACTCTGACATGCCTGCCGGTTCTTCTGTCACCTCCATTATTTCCCCCGATGAACAACACAATAACTTCTCTTCTTCTCTCCATGTCCCTCAACCTGACCACCACAATCTCCAAAACATCTTCAACCAAGATTCAAACTTTGACTCCCATTTGTCTTCCGGGTTCCAAACCATGCCTAACGATCACCACACTGACTTTTATAACAACTATCAACAACCAGGCATAGACAACACCACCAGTTCTCACGAGCTTCCACCACTGCCTTGTGACATATCAGGTTTTAGCCATGGTGATTCTGATTCCAGTATTACCATGAATTCTTGCTATGATTTTAATAGTAATTTGACGGGGTTTTCTGATGATCAGACGGCGTTTACAAGTGGGTTTGATGATACGATGGGAAGTGGGTCATATTTTGGGTTTGATTCGAGTGATCAGTATGTGCACAGCCCACTTTTCAGTAGCATGCCACCGGTTTCTGATACAGTTCCAGATGGTTTCCATTTGGGGTCGTCTTCTTATTTATTTTAAAAATGTTTGTAATGTGTCATCCCTTTTTAAGTTTGATGTCTTGTTTTTTCGTTTCCTTTCCATGGTTTATTGCGAGACTAATCAGTTTCCGGATATATATAACATATTGTTTATATATTACGTTACAGGATAGAGTGGTGGGTTAACTAGTTTAATTACTCTGTTTCTATGGCCTGGAGTGGGCTTTTGCCTAGCTAAGAGATGGATTGGGTTCAGGTCCAGCCCAAGAGTTATATGGGCCACCTATAAATTAATTATTTATGACTTAGGAATCTTGCATTACTTAATAAGACACAGAAGGTCAAGGCCAACCCTTGTTGTAAGGGATAGGTCAAGATTAACCAAACTACTTTCAAGTTAGGAGAGGGTTAACTCTTGATTTTATATTATTAATTTATACAGTCCTAATCAGACGGATTTAAGTTAACTATAATTAGTGTTTAAACCAAACTTAGCTTGAACTCAAAAAAGTGGGGGCCTATGAAAGTTGGCAAGTCCATCAATGGCTCACTTGATAATTTGTTTTAAATTACTAACAATCCTTGTAAAATGATATTATCGATTCTTATTAAAAAGCAATAATCTCATCGATTTTGTGACAAAAACCAATAAACTCAAATTTTATCAAGGGTTTAATACATTTTGACTAATATAAATAGCCTAGATATCAAACAAACAAAACATCACACAACAAATACATATTAAACTAATTATAAAAATATATCGACGGACCCTAAAATATTTGGGGGAGCCAATATGTTACGAAATAACAAGTCATAGATCATGGTCCAATAGACCTTAAATCAAAGATTAAAAGGTGTACTAAGATTAAGGAGGATTTAATCTTGTAATATGTTTTGATAAGAATGAGATGACATGCTTAAATTCGAAGGCAAAGAGATAAAATTTAGGTGGGAAACATTTTCTTCCGACTCCACTCTTTTGTCTTCGTATTTCAGCCTCTAAATATTATAGATTGCTTTCCATTTTCAAATTACACTATCGTAATCAACATGTGTGTTGAAAACGATGTTTTTATAATTTTAAAAATAAAATCAATGGTGCATAATCTATAGTTTTTTTTTTCTTTTCAGATACGCAAATTTACCAGAAAATGAGAGAATAAATAATATCACAAGTTTACGATAAACTCAAATATTCTTAAATGCCCCTTTTTAGGTATTTAGTTATTATTTATATCTTATATTCTTTCTAAATTCAAACGGAATAATAATAAATAAATAAATTTAAAAAAAGAACATATCCGTGGATTTAGGTACGGTTTATATTAAATTTAGATCTGTCACAAAATATTTAAATCCAATAAGATTAGATTAAGGTTAGACTTTTGCGCTGATGGTAGTTAATTAAAGCAATAATTAAGTTTAATATAATCTTAATCTCCACATCAGGAAGCTGCACACACTGCGTAAGCAACTGACCTATTAATATATTTTATTTAAAAACACGCGCTCGTCAGCCATCATCAAATCGGAGGGTCCACCACCTCCCACGTAAGCCAGCCATCGCTTTGTTGTTAGTTACATGTAGTATATGGGTCCCAGATTTGGAAGATAAGTGCAACAAAATTAAGTCCACGCTCTCCTTGATCGCGTTTGGTAAACGGGGCACTTTATCATGTGATTGTCCTGTTCGCCACCAGTTTCCCGCGTCCAAAACGTGGGCAAATGTGCTACACTGCACACTTACTGCCCGTACTCCACCTCCCTCATTTCAATCTTATTATCCATTTTTTTTTTTTTTTAAACATTTAATATGTACGTGTAAATTTTATTTTGAGATTCTGGATTAACAAATGACTTGGTTTAAAATTTAAAATAATAATGTAACCAATTATTTACCAAATTTAAATGTTGCTGAGATGTGTCAATTCTACCTAGTATTGGGATTGTTTCGTTTGTAACTATTAGTTTTAATTCTGTTATTTGATAGCAATTATATTTGCTATTTGATTACAAATATATTTTTCTAAAAATATCAAAACCATATATTTATCAATACATATAAATAGTAGATTCCATAGCATTATTGTGAAATCAAATCAACAATGGAACAGAATTTGGAATTAGTCCATTCAAACATTATTAGTGGGTCCATTTATTCTCCATTATCAAAATTGCATTGACTCCATAATCCCAATTATATAATATAATTCATCCCTACCACTCCAAGACGCGTCTACGTCGCGTGAGTTACTCACAAATTCATGAGCGGCCCGTTGAGAGAAGTATGGAAAATAGATGTTGGCTGGCTGCGCCAACTTCTATAAATTGAATGGACCGGTTTACATTTCAGGAGATAATTTCGAAACTTAAACTTGGTTTTGTTTTTTCGCTGTTTGCTTGAGAGAGGGAGAGAGAGAGAGTTTTCAGGTTCTGATTCTCTCCATGGAGCCGGAATCTGGAATTTCAACTCCTTCTCGCAGCTCTTCTCAGGTTTTTTTTTTTTTTTAATTTTTATATTTAGTTTGATGTATTTAGATTTTGCTTCTTCAATTGTTTCAGTTTTTTTGTTTCATTTCCGGCTAATTGAATTTCTGCTGAAGCTGTTAATTGGATTTTTGATACTAGACTATTTGACGTTTACGTTTGAATGGATTTTAGTTAGTTCTGTTTGAGTCAGTGAAGTTATATTAATTGTGATAAATCTGTTGTATTTTTTTTTTTTATCTTTTGGAATTTGGATTATTAGTATGTGGTGAGCTTGTTAATGTGAGTATTTATTGTTAAGTAAGACTTGAGCTTCTGCTTCAACTTCTGCTTTTGGTTTTTGATTATTCTCTGTTAGTGCATATCAACGAGGCAAATGGGTTTTGGTCCATAGTTTTTCTCTAATTATGATTGAGGCATTAAGTTGTATGTTTGAGCCCCTGTTCTTACTTGAAGTTTCGCATAATTCATCTGTTTTGATCGTATCGAGTGTGAGGTGTTGTTGTTTACGAATGTTTCCGACTTTCAAGTACTTGTAAGGTCTATAATCTATAGCATGGAGTGAAATCTCTGTTTGTTCTTGACATATTTATAGACTTTTGTGAGAGCACCTGGGTTTTGTATAGGATTATTGATGCCAACAAACATCAAATTCAAAGTACATGACTTTTTGTAAGTGAAAAATAATATGGTAGCTTAGTCAATCTTTTGATGCTATCCTTCCTTGCATCTATCAGCTACATAAGTAGAAATTCTCTTATTGATATATATCAAAGCAAGGTTAGATGTTGTGAACCTGCATGCTATCAACTCTCGTTATTCGAAGTTCATAAAGAAATAAAGAATCAATCTCATCTGGTACCATTCATATATCGAGTCTTGAAGTTTGATGATATTCTTGTTAATTATTATGTTTAAGTCTCACTTTGTTTCGACTTTTTTGATATCCTAAATTTGAGGACTTTATTTACACTTTCTGTTGTGTGTACAAAGAGTTAACACTGCATTCTTTTGTGCCTTTTTCTTTTTACTTCTGTAAATAAGTTTTTATTTGTATTAGTAAGAGAGTGTTTAAGTGACTGTTTTGATGTGAATCCATATATTAGACAGAAGAATTTTCCATCTTAAGCTAATTTTTTTTGTTAATTATATCTTATAACATTAATGATAGACTGTAGTTTCGGTTCTGGTGGATTTTTTTTGTTTTGATTTGATATGATACAGTTCGAGGTTCAAGCACAGCATGAACTCAGTTATTTTTATTTACATTTTTTTTTTTATTTCTCCGGAAACCGCAGTTTCATAAGTGTCTGATTTCTGAAACCTATAACTGGGTTTTTTGTGGACTTGCAGCGCTCTTGGGTGAATCTCTCCAGGAACCTAATATTAGCATACCAAAGTCTTGGTGTAGTATATGGAGATCTGAGCACTTCACCTCTCTATGTTTATTCCAGTACATTCATAGGAAAGCTGGAGAACAATAGGACTGAGGAAGCAATATTTGGTGCATTTTCCTTAATTTTTTGGACCCTTACCTTAATACCCTTACTCAAATACGTGTTCATTGTACTGACTGCAGATGATAATGGTGAAGGTGTGGTAATATTTGAACTTCTGTAACTGGATTCTATATTCTCTAATCTGCTAGAGCTGACACATTCCTAATTCGTTTCAGGTGGCACATTTGCTCTCTACTCATTGCTTTGTAGGCATGCAAAGTTTAGCTTACTTCCCAATCAACAAGCAGCCGATGAGGAGCTTTCGACATACAAATATGGCCACCCAATGCAGTCTGCTACCTCTTCTGCTCTTAAGAGATTTTTGGAGAAACATAAAAAGCTACGAACAGCTCTACTGGTTGTGGTACTTTTTGGTGCTTGTATGGTCATAGGTGATGGTGTGCTCACTCCAGCAATATCAGGTAAGGTCCTAACATGGTGCTCTTAAAGTTTGATCTGACAAAACTCCCAGATGTGTCAATTTTATGTCTGCTGCAATTATTAGTTGTTGAACTGGAATAGGAATCAATAGATGTATATTGCACCACTTTCTTATGATCGTTTGATAGGGAATAAGCAAACCACACTTCCAGCTTTTACTGTATAATTTATTTTGCATGCAAGGCTTGCAATGAACTTGAGGGACATGTTCTTATTTACAAGTTATTGAATACAGAGATTTTTAGAGCATTCCACCATCTTAGGCAGTCCAGGGTTCTTCGAGTGGATTTTTTTTTTTTTTTTTAATTAGGTGTAATTTTATAATTTATTCTTAATTTGGATCTTTAACACGTTTGGTATTCCATCTTGGAGATTCTTCTTCTTTAGCTCCCACGGATATGTGGGGTTTAATAAATGACATGCTTTTTATATGCAGTTCTATCAGCGGTGTCAGGGCTACAGGTTACAGAAGCTAAATTAACTGATGGTAATCCGGTTCTCTTTTTCCCTCTCTCTCACATCCTGTTATATTAAGTTTTTAATTCATGGTGCTGATGCCTTTTGATACTTTAATGTTCCTCTGGGGCATCATACTTTGATTTTTGACATAGTAGGCTCCCCGTTTTTGTAGGTGAATTGCTCTTGCTTGCCTGTGTAATATTGGTGGGCCTGTTTGCTTTGCAGCATTTTGGCACTCGAAAAGTAGCTTTTATGTTTGCGCCAATTGTAATGATCTGGTTGGTTTCGATTCTATCTGTTGGTTTGTACAACATCATACATTGGAATCCAAAAATTGTTCGCGCAATTTCTCCATATTATATTATCATGTACTTTAAAGTGTGTGGCAGAGATGGCTGGATTTCTCTTGGAGGGATCCTTCTTTGCATAACCGGTAGGTTGCATCTGGTAAATCATATATTATTAAATTTTCTATGTTGTATAACTTATTGCTAGATTCTTTTGCAACTCATTTTATGAATCTGGTTGAGTTCAAGTTATCTCTTGGTTGGTTTAGCAATTATTCAAGTTCGTTAGCTATCAGATTCCTGATTAAATCTTACATGTCATCAATTTTGTGAGACTGACAACAAAGCATTTATGGGTCTCACCAGGTACTGAAGCTATGTTTGCAGACATTGGTCACTTCACTGCCTTGTCAATTAGAGTGAGTTGGAACCATCTTTCAGGAAACACAAGACCTATCATTAATGTTTACATGAAATAAATTTGAATGATTTTCTTACGTTTGCAGCTTGCATTTGCTTTTGTCATATACCCTTGTTTGGTAATACAATACATGGGTCAGGCTGCTTTCTTGTCCAAAAACCTCGACAAGATTCCGAACTGTTTTTATGACTCTATACCTGGTCAGTTCATTTTGAGATGAAGTGATTGTTTCAAAATTTCTTTTCAATTTCAGGTAGGTCTAATTTTGCTTTCTATTGCTATGTTACAGGTCCTGTATTTTGGCCCGTCTTTGTCATTGCCACCCTTGCAGCTATTGTTGGGAGTCAGGCTATTATCACAGCTACTTTCTCTATCATCAAACAATGTAATGCCCTTGGTTGCTTTCCACGTGTGAAGGTTGTCCACACCTCAAAGAATATATATGGGCAGATATATATTCCAGAAATAAACTGGATCCTAATGATCCTTACTCTTGCTATCACTATTGGGTTTCAGGACACAACTTTAATAGGAAATGCTTATGGTATGTTATCCTTCAAAGAAAACCTCTCTTTCTCTCTCTATACTAGTATGTATCTATGTTCATTGTGCTAATGTTTGCATTATTTGTGTCTGCTCCTCACCACAACCATTTTTAGGAGAATTTGTTTGATGTTCTTCTATTTACATGCATGTTTTATTTGCGTGTGGTTATGATGTTGCATTTTTGTTTTGGCACCCAGGACTTGCTTGCATGACGGTGATTCTCATCACAACATTTCTCATGGCACTAGTCATAATATTCGTTTGGGAGAAAAGCATCTTCCTGGCAGCAATTTTCCTTCTATTCTTCTTGTTCATTGAAGGTACTTACTTATCAGCGGCATTAACTAAAGTACCTCAGGGAGGGTGGGTTCCTCTTGTGCTCTCATTCATCTTTATGGCTGTTATGTACATCTGGCATTATGGGACTCGCAAAAAGTACAACTTTGACCTGCATAACAAAGTTTCATTAAAATGGTTAATTGGTTTAGGCCCCAGCCTTGGTATTGTTCGTGTGCCTGGGATCGGGCTTATATACTCAGAGCTGGCAACAGGAGTCCCTGCAATCTTCTCTCACTTTGTTACGAACCTTCCTGCATTTCACAATGTGCTTGTCTTTGTCTGTGTTAAATCAGTTCCGGTCCCATATGTTTCACCTGAAGAACGGTTTCTCATTGGCCGTGTTTGCCCAAGGCCGTATCGTATGTATAGGTGCATTGTGAGGTATGGTTACAAAGATATTCAACGTGATGTTGGTGACTTTGAGAACCAGCTCATACAAAGCATAGCAGAGTTTATCCAGATGGAAGCAGTTGAACCACAGCCCTCTAGTCCTGAGTCTTCACTGGATGGAAGGATGGCTGTCATAAGCACTAGAAATGTTGAATCAAGCTCGACATTCATAATATCTGAGCAAGGAGATATTGATTTGAGCGACTCAATCCAGAGCAGCAAATCTGTAGCCCTGCAGAGTTTGCAATCTGTTTTTGTTGATGAGGATCCACAAGTCAGGAGGCGCCAGGTGAGGTTTCAGTTACCACCAAATCCTGCAATGGATCCTGCAGTTAAGGATGAGCTGATGGATTTGATCCAGGCAAAGGAAGCAGGGGTCGCATACATAATGGGACACTCATATGTGAAGGCTAGGAAATCATCTTCATTTTTGAAAAGGTTTGTGATCGATATTGGGTATTCGTTTCTTCGCAAGAATTGCAGGGGGCCAGCTGTGGCACTAAATATTCCTCATATCAGTCTAATTGAAGTCGGTATGATATACTATGTTTAGTTAAAAAAAGAAAAAAAAAAAAAATTCAATCATCTATGAACCGCAGTGTCCGTAATTTTGTATGTGTGGATAAGGAGGCATCTCGTGTCATACTCAGTGGAGTAGGAGTACATATATGTTAAATAGATAATCTGGATGCAGGAAATTTGTGGAGAAACTTCCTCAATCCTGTATCTCTGTTTTCCTTTGTACAGAGGACATTTATTTTCGTTTAATGACTTTTTTAGGTGTTTATTTTCATGTGGCTAAAAGTTTACTGTTGAAATTTCCTTGATTTCTTTGAAACATGATCAGATCGGCTATCTTCTTCTAAATTGATAATAACCCAGCTGCTTATGGATCAGCGGGTTATATCATATATGGCAACAAAACGATTGGATTGGGTTACGAGTGCACTTGCTATCCCACTTTCAAATTTTTTAATCTCAAGCATAAATGCCATCTTATATTATTTACTCATCAAAGTGTAATATAATATTATTCTTGGAGAAATGTAATTTGGTTTCAGATGCAATCTTATTAGGATGAGTTTATCACTTTAAAAAAGTTTTTGTTGTGACAACGGTTGATGTCACAAACACCAAGTCCTTTTGCTCACTAGTTTTAACAAAAGTACCCCCAAACTCACTCTTGGCACTTTTATTCTGCTTCTAACTGTTACTACTTCAACAATGAAGAGAATTTATAAGCTGGTTATCCTTCAACTGATCAAACTCACATAAGGATCATCAAAGTTGAGCATTCGTCTTCGCTTCCTATTAGTATTCAACCTCCTCCTGCAAAACCAACACATCCCATGAAGATGAACTGAACAACTTCATGGATGATCATCAAGATTAACATACCTATTTAAGCACTCGTTAATTGCATCGACTTCTTTCGATTCACTACTACTCTGCCCAATTAATGCGTAATAGCTTTTGCCCACATGTGAGTTCAATGCTTCCTTCTGTTTACATTATAAGAAACGAGTTAGAACGAATTATGGATCAGTTTTGGAACCTCAGACAAAATCAAAATCAAAATATAGCTAAATTGGTGCGTGTATAGGTGGGATGACATTATTTCTAAATTCTGGTTGCATTTGAGTGCAGATTTTTGCTTGCCTTTGATGGGGAGCAAAACACATTCCGAAATGGAGACACCTTCTTTGGAGAGATATCAGCAACGCTTGGAAATAGAGATGGCCGAGCAGAACTTGGAGAATGATCTATCACACCAAAATCAAACCAAAAGTAAGATTGTTCGCAAAAAGAATGGCAAAGATGTATTGACTATAAGCAAAAGGTAAAGAGTAATCAAACCACTATTCTCATTGTTACCCTCAGGTACTTGTTTGTATCCAATCTCCTCCAGTAAAGATTTTACATTCGAAAGGAATATTTCATTGTAAAGTTTGATAATATGCACGCGATTCTCCCCATTTTTCTGTTTCAATCAACACAATGGATTTGTAACTTGTAAGGTTCCTGTAATCAGGGGAAAAAATATTATGAATTTATAAACATACCCAATTGCACTGAGATGAACAACTGACAAACACTCCACAAAAATCTTGAGATCTGCGTTGCGTTTCCTTAACATAATTTTGGGTGATTGAGAAAACTGCAAGCCACAATTTTTTTTTCAGAATGACTGGTGTAAACTGAAGAATATATTTGACAGTACCTTCCAATGGAAATAAAACTCTTACCTTTCTTAATACTAAATAGAAACAGCACAATACGCCGGTTAAAAAAAAGATATGTTTTCTGAGTAAGTATCAGTTGGAAAAGCAAATAGATTTTCTCTCGTATCTGCGCTGTAAATTTCAGCCTTTCAGCCATTGAGTTGATTCTAATAGCAGCTAACTTGCACATCTGCAAAGACGGTGCCATGGATGAATGATGGTGAATTATTCAAAGTGATGAAGAAATTCTGTGAACAAAATGGACTTAATCATATTGAGATACCTTATTAGAGAGCAGCGTGATTGCTGCATCCTTGTGGGCACTTGCTTTATTTGGTGAATTTGATTGCGTAGGGCTGTTGATAAATATGCAAATAACTTCTAAGATCTTCAACAGAGGACACAACATAGTAGCATTCTAATTGAAGAAAATCATGCCTGACAAATGCTGTTTGCAAAGATGGTGGGGTTGCTGATGCAGAAGAAATATGTTTTACCAGCCTGTTACCATACTCATCACACATTCTCTTTGCTCATGAAATTGACAGAATCAAGTTAATTAAGGTTTAAGTTTGATGCGGCGAAACATTACATGAAGCAGATCAAACATGAGTAATCACCGGCTGACAACTTCAAGATCTGTTGATGAAGCAAGCCTCCTGAAGCAACGTGATTACTCATGGCAATTTCATCCAGTGATGGCATAGGGTCAGCTAGCAGATTAAGTCGCTTTATTTCATCAGAAAGAGATGGTTTTGCAACAATCAAAGGATTGTACAAGGAGGAACCCTTTTCCCACACCATGCTTTCTAACAACTTCTCCAAAGAATTCAAGTGTCGCTTCAATTCTCTGGGGAGTGAATCTTCATGTTTGATGAAACTCTCTTTGTCACTTTACTCATATCAAATGCTGTAATTCAAGTTCTCTGCATCACCACTGTTAACACTACACTATATTTAAAATGCGCTGCGGATATTAGTTCAGCTGCACAAGCTAGCATGGATCTATGGAACTTTTCATTAGTTAGCAAACCACTCAAATCTCCTCCTTCACTCAATTTTTGAGCATCTGATGTACAGATGGATTCCAAAACCTTATAGTACAATTTCAAAGCTTCATTACTTTCTTGTCCCGTCCACAAATTATCCTTAAATTAACATTAAATAGGCTCCAATTGACCAGCTTTTGTCTGCTTGGAAACAAGGCCTCTAGTATTATGTTTGCTCGACTTATTACCTGATTAACTATATTGCCAATTTGCCATTACCCAATTGAAGAAATTTCTCCAATTCTGGTGATGGCTTTGCGGGAAGTGGAGAAATCACAGTTTGGAGCCAGGTCGCAGAATCCAATCCTGTTCTTACTGGTGTTGATGTCAACTTTACGATGCCATGAGAAAGCCTACGACTGCCATTTACATGAACTAAGTTTGTCTCATGTAAAGGAAAATCGAAAGGCCGATGCTGTTAAATGATAAAGGATAAGCTACTAGTCGTTTACTTGTATTGTTAATTGACGTAAACGACTTGTATTGTTAATTGACGTTTTTACCTCTTTTCTTATTCTTTTATTTTTTTTTTCCTGTATATAGGTTTATTTGCTGGCAGAATGCCATAGGCTTGGTTTGCTAGTTTGTTAGAATCTTTTCTGTATACATGCACGTTGCTGTGCATCATTCACATTGCACTGTTTTTACTGAATAGAGGAATCATTTTCCAGCCATCGCATTGCTCTCTCTTTTTCTTTTGTTTGCTGTTTCCTTACATGGTATCAGAGCTACCGAGAGTATTTCCCATGGCAACTTCTGATTCTGATTCCTCCGAATCCCACTTTGACCAAAAATCAAACATTGCAGAATCAAACACCTCCTCTCCCTACCTCAACCTTCTTGATCCGGCGAACCCTTACCGGCTTGACCATGGTGATAATCTCGCTCTAACCCTTGTTTCTGATCTTCTCTCGACAGATAACTATGCCACCTGGTCTCGCTCCATGCGTCTATCTCTCCGTGCCAAAAACAAATTAGGGTTCATCAATGGAACCCTCTCCAAACCTAAACACCCCGATGATCCTTTACTTGAGCTCTGGGAGCATTGTAACGACATGGTCGTTTCTTGGCTCCATAATTCGATCAGTCCGTCTCTTCAATCCAATGTTCTATTCGTTGATAATGCACAAGACATCTGGTTGGATCTTGAAGCACGTTTTTCTCACCAAAATGGCCCCCGCATCTATCAGCTTAAAAAGGCAATGGCTGCTCTCTTAAGAACATGATTCGGTAAGCACTTACTTTGGAAAATTAAAATCTCTCTAGGATGAGCTTTCTGTTTACGATCCTTTTCCTACTTGTAAGTGTGGTACCATGAAAACCTTGTTGGATTGCTACCAGTGAGACTGTGTGCTTCAGTTTTTAATGGGTCTTCATGACTCCTATTCCCCCATCTGTGACCAGATCATGCTTCTGGATCCCATCCCCCCTGTTTCAAAAGTCTTTTCTCTTATGCAGCAGCAAGAACACCATCACCAAATTACTTCCCATACCCCATCCACCGAAACCATGGCCATGGCTGTCAAGAAACCATATACACCATACAAATCTTTCCCCAAACAGAACCATCCCTCCAAGAAAGATCGTCCATATTGTAGCCATTGCAAAATCCCAGGCCACTCCTTTGAAACATGCTTCAAAGCTGGCAATGCTGAGCCCCCCATTTGCTCGCATTGTAACTTAACTAGGCACACCATTGAGAAGTGTTACAAACTCCATAGCTACCCTCCAGGCCACAAATACCACACTAAACAGCAACCATCTCGTGCCTTTCTTGCTAATCAGACTGCTCTTTCTTTTGCTATTGACCCTGAAGATAAGGGCAATGACAAGTATGGTCTGACCAAGCAACAATATCAGCATATCATAGCACTGCTCCATCCTCAGGAATCTCCAGTTGCAGCTTCTGCTGTTCATTCCAGCAATCCACCTTTACTTCGTACAGCATCCTGTTCTAAGATGTCTGGTATTCCATTTTCTTTATCTACACACACAAACACTTTCAATCCTGACCCATCCATCAATTGGATCATTGACACAGGCGCTACAGACCATATGGTCTGCAGCACCTCTTTCTTCTCCTCCATTACTTCCATTGTTTCTTATTTTGTTAAACTCCCAAATGGGAATTCAACACCTGTTAAACACATTAGGACCATTCACTTATCTGGTTCCATTATTCTTACAGATGTTTTATGCGTTCCTTCTTTTTCATTCAACTTAATTTCTGCAAACAAACTAACTATTCAAATTCATTGTTGTTTGCTTTTCTTTTCTACTCACTGTTTTATGCAGGACCTGCTTGCATGGAGAACGATTGGAACGGGTGAACTCTGGCATGGCTTATATCATTTCAATTGCAAGGAAGTTCTTCCCTCAACTCTCACAAATTACCTTTCGGCTTTCCCTTCCACAAGACATACTCCTTTTACTTGTTTTTCTTCTATTACAAACTCTGTTTCCTGCATAGATCTTTGGCATTGTCGCCTAGGTCACTTATCTCAGTCTAGGTTACATTTAATTTCTGATCCTATTGTACACAGACAGAGTTCATCCATTAATAAAAGTTCTTGCAGCATTTGTCCCTTAGCTAAATTTAACCGTCTCCCTTTTCCTATGAGCTCACATTCATCTTCACATATTTTTGAATTAGTTCATTGTGATATATGGGGACCTTGCTCCCAAATTGCACATGATGGTTCACGATACTTCTTAACCATCGTAGATGATTTTTCCCGAAATACATGGCTCTATTTACTTGCCACCAAAACAGAAACCAGAAAATGCATTGAGGCTTTTTATAATCTTGTTGAGACACAATTTCACACAAAAATCAAAGTCCTTAGAAGTGACAATGGTCTTGAGTTCAATATGCAAGATTTTTTTAATAAAACCGGCATTCTCCATCATAAAAGTTGTGTGGCCACTCCTCAACAAAATGGCATTGTTGAGCGAAAACATCAACATTTGTTAAATGTGGCACGGGCCCTTCTTTTCCAAGCTGGTCTTCCCTTAATTTACTGGAATGAATCCATACTCACTGCCACATATATTATTAACCGACTTCCCACACCCCTCTTAGATAATAAAACTCCATATGAGCTTCTTTTTCACAAATCACCTCAATATGCCCACATGAGAATCTTTGGTTCTCTTTGTTTTGCTGCTACTCTTTCCCATAATCAAAAAAAATTTGACCCTAGAGGTTGGGCTTGCATATTCCTTGGCTATCCTTTTGGAACCAAGGGCTATAAACTTTTGGATATTAAAACCAGCACCATTTTTATTTCAAGGGATGTTTCCTTTCATGAATTTATTTTTCCTTTTCAGACCACCAACCTACCTGTCTCCACTAATCCTTCTCTACCTTTTTTCTCTTCTTTTCAATCTCCTCCTTCCATTCTAAATCTTTCTACTGTTATGGTTCCAGCTCCACCTCTCTCACAGCCTACTCCAATTACTTCACCTCCACCACATATCCATAATTCCCCACCCTCCACTTCCACTCCCCCTTCCTCTATTCCTACTTCTTCTTCCTATCCAACCACCATTCAATCTCAACCTCAACCTCAACCTCCACCACTTCAAAAATCCACCAGAACAAGAAATGCACCTCAATACCTCCAGGATTTTCACTGTCAACAAGCCTTGCTTGACTCACCTCAACAATCAGTTTCCACAGCAACTCCTTTATCAAACGGTAAGTGCTCTTCTCTCTCTAATTATTTGTCTTACACATTTTTTAACCCTTCTTTTCAAGCGTTTTCTTCTTCCATATCCCTTAAATCTGAACCTACTTCCTATACACAAGCAATCAAAGATCCTTAATGGTGCAAGGCTATGGATGCTGAAATCACTACACTGGAAAGCAATCATACTTGGACACTCACTGATTTACCTCAAGGGAAGGATGTCATTGATTGTAAGTATGTCTATCGCATTAAATTCAAGTCTAATGGTAGCATAGAAAGACTTAAAGCTAGACTTGTGGCCAAGGGCTACACCCAACTAGAAGGCATAGATTATCATGAGACTTTTTCCCCCGTTGCCAAGCTAGTTACTGTTAAATGCCTTCTTAGTGTTGCTGCCATCAAAAGATGGTATTTACATCAATTTGATGTAAATAACGCATTCCTTAATGGAGATTTACATGAAGAAATTTACATGAAAAATCCCCCGGGATATACTAAAGGTTCTCCAACTCAAGTTTGTAAGTTGCTTAAGAGCCTTTATGGCCTTAAGCAAACATCAAGGCAATGGAACTCTAAGCTTACATCTTCTCTTCTTGGCTTTGGTTTCACCCAATCCCAATCTGATTATAGTTTATTCACCAAGCATGATGGAGACACTTTTATAGCTTTGCTGATTTATGTTAATGATTTCCTAGTTGCTAGTAATTCCATTGCTGCTATTGCCTCTCTCAAAACTTTTTTGAATAGCAAATTCAAGATTAAAGATCTTGGTACTCTTAGATATTTCTTAGGTCTTGAAATCGCTCGATCTACTAAGGGTATTCATCTTTGTCAACGCAAATATGCGTTGGACATATTAGCTGATTCGGGTATGCTTGGTTGCAAGCCTCTCAAACTTCCAATGGATCAACATTTTAAGATCAGCAAATCTGAAGGCACTCCATTACTTGATCCCAGCATTTTTCGAAGATTAATTGGTCGCTTGTTGTACCTTACCATAACCCGACTAGACATCTGCTTTGCTATCCAATTACTCAGCCAGTTCATGAATCAGCCCTCTTCATCTTATTTAGCTGCTGCATACCGCATTTTGAGATACATTAAATCAGCACCAGCTCAAGGCCTTCTACTCTCCTCTACATCTCAGCTTCAACTTCAGGCCTACTGTGACTCAGATTGGGCCTCATGCCCCGACTCTCGTAGATCCACAACCGGATATTGTCTCTTCTTGGGCCAATCCCTTATTTCTTGAAAGACCAAGAAGCAATCAGTTGTCTCAAGATCTTCCGCTGAAGCTAAGTATCGCTCCATGGTAGCCACTTGTTCTGAGCTTACATGGATCTGATTCATCCTCCAAGATCTTGGCATTTCTCATCCTCAAGCAGCCACTTTATTTTGTGATAACTAGACAGCTTTACACATCGTTGCAAATCCGGTTTTTCATGAAAGGACCAAGCACATAAAACTTGATTATCACTTTATTAGAGACAAGATTCAAGATGGAAGTATCATTACTGCCCATGTCCCCTCTCAATCTCAGTTAGCCGATACTTTCACCAAACCACTGCCCTCTTTTCTCTTACAAGCTCACTTATCCAAGATGGGAATAGTAAATTACTATTCTCCATCTTCCGGGGCGGGTGTTAAATGATAAAGGATAAGCTACTAGTCATTTACTTGTATTGTTAATTGACGTTTTTACCTCTTTTCTTATTCTTTTATTTTTTTTCCTGTATATAGGTTTATTTGCTGGCAGAATGCCATAGGCTTGGTTTGTTAGTTTGTTAGAATCTTTTCTGTATATATGCACGTTGTTGTGCATCATTTACAGTGCACTATTTTTACTGAATAGAGGAATCATTTTCCAGCCATCGCATTGCTCTCTCTTTTTCTTTTGTTTGCTGTTTCCTTACAGATGCATTAATCTAAGAGAAATTTAAGTTTGGCAAGAAAGTTGTAAAATAATTAGCATCTGGCTATCAATAACGTTAAGTGATTAATAATTTTGTTATCTTTAATTATATTATTCCTCAATTATCCATCCTTTATTTCTACCGATGATGGAAGAGGAAAAAATAATTAATTTCCCGAATAAGTGCAAAAGACAACAATTCTTTTGGTTCCTTGGGCATTTATATTATAGTTTACGGAATTAGGATTTTTATTTATTTATTTCCTCATAAGTTATCCAATAAATTAAAAGCATATTGTTCTCTTTTTNCAACTTTACCCCTTCATCTAATAGATTAAGCTAATGATAGTTACTTTTAGATGAAAATATTACTATATTACAACGTTTGGGCTTGTTATGTCACTTGTTTAAACCTCTGGGTCTAACTGTTACTTACATTAAACCTAAAGGGTGTTTATGTTTTAAAGCCTATGTACACAAGTATCAACTAGAGTGCAGGGTTCACTAAATAATTTATGCTAAGAGCAAGAATTTGAGAGTTCGAATGAGTAATGTAGTTATGCTTTGAGAAATTTGTATTGAAATCATATGTCTAAAGGTCTGTATTCAGCCGTCATCAAGTTTATTCACTCAATGCATTTAATCATCATAACCTAAGCATTTGTAAAATATTACAGAAAACCTAAAAGCAGGATCTTTTACCTCACTTCCAAGCCCCAACATATGTGGTTTAAGAACTTCCTCATCTACCACTTCCAGGCTCTCTAGAGGAGTTTCTGCTAGCATAGCTTCTGCAGCATCAGTAAGATCGAGATACACTTTATCAATAGAAGCCCTCTGACCCTTCCTTGAAAGAATGGACTGCAAATTTCATAAAAGTTGTCATAAGATAACTTTTCAATCAAATTTAATGATCCATTCACATTGCATGTTAACCAACAATGCATTCTGATATGTAATCAGATCAGCTTTACCACGGACTACAGGGACTTGGACTAGCTCAATTTGTGGACAAACTTCCTCTGCCTCATCACCTCTCGTTGGACTGAAAATCATGCACGAGATTTCTAAATCTAATGCATTTCTGGAAAGTATTTTGTCACCAAATAAAAAGTTCCTCAGAAAGTAACTAAAACTTACTTACAGCTTTACACCATATTTCCGAGCCTCAAACCTAACAGTAATCAGGGCCCCATGTTTCCACTCATTGTACTGCACCGCAGCGGAAGGTAAACCCTTAAATGCGGTTGCTTTCCTGCTCCACTGCATTGAAAAATATCACATTTTCAGAGCAGAACAAACTACAGCATAACTAATGCAAGGAAATATGAACAGAAGACATGTAAGTTTTCAAACAGAAGAGCATTTTAGTAAATCGTCACTATTAGAATCCAAGGACAAAAAATACACCTTCAATACTGTACCTTCACTATCACTATCAGAAGCAATTCTTACAAACTTAAAAAACTAGATTTTTTTTTTTTTTTTTCCCAATTATTCAACCATCAATAACATTATTCCAGAGAATTATCTATCTTTTTTAATGTAGGACAGATTTTCCAAAATTAGGATTTTATATTATTTTCCTCTTTCTTATTTGGTTTTCTAATTTTAATTAGGATTTTATTTGGAGGTTTAGTTGTTTAAGGATTTTAATTAAAACATGAATTATTTCGTAGTGTGTTAAATGATAAAGGATAAGCTACTAGTCGTTTACTTGTATTGTTAATTGTCGTTTTTACCCTGTTCTTATTCTTTTATATTTTCCCTGTATATAGGTTTATTAGCTGGCAGAATGCCATAGGCTTGGTTTGTTAGTCTGTTAGAATCTTTTCTATATATATGCACGTTGCTGTGCATCATTCTGAGTGTACTGTTTTACTGAATAGTGGAATCATTTTCCAGCCATTGCATTGCTCTCTCTGTTTCCTTTGTTTGCTGTTTCTTTACATGGTATCAGAGCTACCGAGAGTTTTTTCCCATGGCAACTTCTGATTCTGATTCCTCCGAATCCCACTCTGACCACAAATCAAACACCTCCTCTCCCTACCTCAACCTTCTTGATCCAGCGAACCCTTATCGCCTTGACCATGGTGATAATCCCGCTCTAACCCTTGTCTCTGATCTTCTCTCGACAGATAACTATGCCACCTGGTCTCGCTCTATGCGTCAATCTCTCTGTGCCAAAAACAAATTAGGATTCATCAATGGAACCCTCTCCAAATCTAAACACCCCGATGATCCTTTACTTGAGCTTTGGGAGCGTTGTATCGACATGGTCGTTTCTTGGCTCCACAATTTGATCAGTTTGTCTCTTCAATCTAGTGTTCTATTCGTTGATAATGCACAAGACATCTGGTTGGATCTTGAAGCACGTTTTTCTCACCAAAATGGCCCCCGCATCTATCAGCTTAAAAAGGCAATGGCTGCTCCCTTCAAGAACATTATTCGGTAAGCACGTACTTTGGAAATTAAAAATCTCTTTGGGATGAGTCTCTATGTCCGATCCTTTCCCTACTGTAAGTGTGTGCCATGAAAACCTTGTTGGAGCGCTACCAGCAAGACTGTGTGGTTTAGTTTTTAATTGGTCTTCATGACTCCTTCCCACATCCGTGACCAGATCATGCTTCCTGGATCCTTTCCCCCTGTTTCAAAGTCTTCTCCTCTTGGTAAGCAGCAAGAACACCATCACCAATTACTTCCCAACCCCCTCCACCGCAAACCATGGCCATAGTTTCAAGAACCATATACACCATCCAAATCTTTTCCCAAGACCGAACCATCTTCCAAGAAAGATCGCCCAGATTGTAGCCATTGAAAATCCTCGCCCTCCTTTGAAACTGCTTCAAAAGCTGGCAATGCTGGCCGCCCCTTTGTTTTCGCTTGTAACTTTAACTGGGCACACCATTGAGAAGTGTTTACAATACTCCTGGCTTACCCTCCAGGACACAAATACCACCCTAAACGCAACATCTCCTGCCTTTCTTGCTAATCATACTGCTCTCTCTTTTGCACTGACCCTGAAGATAAGGGGATGACAAGTACGTTCTGACAGCACAATATCTGCATACTAGCACTACTCCATCCTCCGGAATCTCAATTGAGGCTTCTGCTGTTCATTCACAATCCACCTTTAATTCGGACCGAGATTCGGTATTCCCTTTTTTTTATCTATACACCAAACATTTATCAATCCTGACCATCCTCAATTAGATCATTGACACAGTCGCTACCGACCCTTGGTCTGCAGCACTCTTTCTTCACCGCTATACTTACGTTCTTATTTTGTGAAACTCCCAACTGGGAATTCATCCCTGTTACCCACATTGGGACCATTCACTTATCCGGTTCCAAAAATTATTCTTACCGATGTTCTATGCGTTCCCTTCTTTGTTCATTCAACTTAATTTCTGCAAACAACTAACTATTCAACTTCATTGTTGTTGCTTTTCTTCTTCTACTCACTGTTTTTATACAGGACCTGCTTTGCATAGAGAATTATTGACGGGTAACTCCGGCATGGCCTTTATACATTTCAGTTGCAAGGATGTTCCTTCCCTCAGCTCTCCCAAATTCCATTTGACTTTCCCTTCCACAATACATACTCCTTTACTTGTTTTTCTTCTGTTACAACTCTTTTCTAGCATAGATCTTTGGCAATGTCGCCTAGGTCACTTATCTCATTCTAGGTTACATTTAATTTTCTGATCGGTTGTTACACAGACAGAGTTCATCTATAATACAAATTCTTGCATGCATTTGTCCCTTAGCTAATTTACGTCTCCCCCTTTTCCTGTGAGCTCCCATTCATCTTCACATATTTTTTAATTAAGTTCATTGGATATATTGAGGACCTTGCTCAGAATCGCACATGATGGGTCACGACATACTTCTTAACCATCGTTTATGATTTTCCCCAACACATGGCTTTAATTTTACTTGCCACCAAAACAGAAACCAGAAAATGCATTGAGGCTTTCTATACTCTTGTTGAGACACAATTTCACACAAAAATCAAAGTCCTTCCGAAGTGACAATGGTGCGAGTTTAATATGCAAGATTTTTTTTAATAAAACCGGCATCATCCATCATAAAAGTTTGTGGCCACTCCTCAAAAAATGGAATTGTTTGAGCGAAAACATCAACATTTGTAAATATGCACGGGCCCTCTTTCCACAAGCGGGTCTTCCTTAATTACTGGAATGAATCCAACTCCACTGCCACATATATTATTAACCGGCTTCCCACACCCCTCTTAGATAATAAAACCCCTATGGGAGCTCCTTTCATCAAACCACCTGATATGCCCCACATTGAGAATCTTGGTTCTCTTGTTTTGCGCCACTCTTTCCCATAATCGCAAAACTTTTACCCTAGAGGTTAGCTTGACATATTCCTTGCGTCCTTTTGGAACCAAGGCTATAAACTTTTGGATATTAAACTAGCACTTTTATTTCAAGGGATATTTCCTTTCATGAATTTATTTTTCCATTTCAACCCCCAACTGCCCGTCTCCCACCATCCTCTCTAACTTTTTTTCTTCTTCCCAATCTCCCTCCTCCCATTCTATCCTCTACTATTATGGTTCCGCTCCACCCACTCACAACCTACTCCAATCCTCCCCTCCACCACCTATCCGTAATTCCCCGCCCTCCACTTCCACTTCCCCTTCCTCTCTCCTACTTTTCTTCCTAGCCAACCACCATTCAATCTCAACCCTCAAGCCCCTACCATTCGAAAATCCCCAGAACCAGAAATGCACCTCAATACCTCAAGGATTTTTCACTGTCAACAAGCCTGCTTGATTCACCTCACCATCGTTTTCCACAGCACTCCTTTATCAATGTACTTTCTATTTCCTCTCTAAGTATTTGTCTACAAATTTTTTAACCTTCTTTTCAGCGTTTTTCTTCTTCATATCCCTTACATCCGAACCTACTTCCTATAAACAGAAAAAAGAGCAATCAAGATCCTTAATGTGCAAGGCTATGTATGCGAAGATCGCTGCCTGGAAAGCATCAATACCTGGACACTCACTGATTTCCTCAAGTAAGGCTGCCATTGATTGTAAGTATGTCTATCGCATTAAATTTAAGTCTGATGCAGCCATAGAAAAGACTTAAAGCTAGAACTTGTGCTAGGGCTACACCCAACTAGAATGCATAGATTACATGAGACTTGTTCCCCCGTTGCCAAGCTCGTGCTGTTAAATGCCTTCAGTGTTGCTACCATCAAAGGCTGGGTATTTACATCAATTTGATGTAAATAACGCATTCCTTAATGTAGAGTTCATAGAAGATATTTTACATGAAAAAGCCCCCGGGATACACTAAGGTTGCTCCACTCAAGTTTGTAATTGCTTAAAAGCCTTTATGGCCTGAAGCCAGCATACGCAATGGAACTCTAAGCTTCATCTTCTCTCTGGCTTTGGGTTTCATCCAATCCAATCTGATTATATTTTATTCACCAAGCATGATGGAGACACTTTTATAGCCTTTTCTGATTTATGTTGATGATTTCCTAGTTGCTAGTAATTCCACTGTTGCGATGGCCTTTTCAAAACCTTTTTGAATAGCAATTCAAGATTAAGATCTTGGTACTCTTCGTATTTCTTGGTCTTGAAATTGCTCGATCTACAAAGGGTATTCATTTTTGTCCACCGCAATATGCGTTGGACATATTAGTTGAGTTCGGGTATCTTGGGTTTCAATCCTCTCAACTTCAATGGATCAACATTTTAAGATCAGCACACTGAAGGACTTATTACTTGATCCCAGCATTTTTCGAAGATTCATTGGTCGCTTGTGTACGTACCATAACCCGACCAGACATCTGTTTGTTGTCCCTTACCTGGGGGCAGCCATTCATGTATGCCCTGCTTCCTCTCATTTAGCTGTTGCATACCGCATTTTGAGATCATTAAATCCGCACCAGCTCAAGCCTTCTACGCTTCTCTACACTCAACTTCAACTCAGGCCTACTGTGCTCAGATTGGGCCTCATGCCCCGACTCTCGCAATCCAAAACCGATATTGTTCTTCATGCCACTCCCATATTTTCTTGGAAGACCAAGAAGCAATCAGTTGTCTCATATCTTTGGCTGAAGCTGAGTAACCGGTCCTGGCACAACTTTTTCTGACTTACATGGCTCGATTCATCCTCCAGCTCTTGTGCATTTCTCTCCTCAAGCAGCCACTTTATTTTGTGATAACCAGGCAGCTTTACATATCGTTGCAAATCCGGTTTTCATGAAAGGACCACACAAGAGCT